GAACTTGTTTTAGAATTGTGAGAGCCTCAGTAGGGGTTAAACACTTAAGATAGGGACCGGAGAATGACCTTCGGTACAACTGGTTATTGATGATTGCGTACTTAGCCGCGGTAAGCCTAAGCTTCCTTGCCTCAGCTTTCTGATTCGGGAGAACCCCTTCCTTGAGGTAGGCCTCGATTGGATCAATCCAGCAGGGCTCGCGTGGTACTTCCGGGATCACCATCACCTCTTGCCGGGGATTAATGCTGGGTTCTTCGAGAACATCGATTGGAACAAGCCGAATCAACTCTTCATCTGAAGATGATGCGGCTGCGGCCAATCGATCTGCTTCGGCATTTTCATCTCGTGGTACCTGATGGAACTCGATTTGATCGAATTCCCGGATAGCACTCTCTTCAGCATCTTTGTACGACTTCATTCGTTCCTCCTTGGGAGAATATTGCCCTGTCACTTGATTGATCACAAGCTGTGAATCACTAAAAACTTTTAAACATCGTACCTGTAGCTGTTTAGCTAGCCGAAGTCCGGCGAGCATCGCCTCATACTCGGCCTCGTTATTAGTAGATGGGAAATCTAGCAAAATTGACTGCTGCAGCTTGGTACCTTCGGGTGTTGTGATGTCAATCCCGGCCCCTGCCCTTTTCCGGTTGGAAGAGCCATCAACCCGTAACTCCCAGTATGGCTCTTGAAGTGTCGGTTCTTCAGGTTGATCTTCGTACTCTAGTAAGAAATCCGCTACCGACTGCCCCTTGTGAGATACCTTTGGTGCATAGGTGATGTCAAAAGAGCTAAGTTCAATAGCCCATTTGGTAATTCGACCAGACAGGTCTGGTTTAGCTAGGATAGCCCTTATAGGGTGATTTGTAAGTACCACTATGCTGTGAGACTCGAAGTAATGTCGAAGTTTCCTCTTGGCATAAATTAACGCCAGGATTACCTTTTCTGTCTTGCTGTACCGTGTCTCGGCATCCGTCATCGTTTTGCTTGTGTAAAAGATTGGGTGCTGAACCTTGCCTCCTTCTTTGATTAACACTGCGCTTGTTGCTACAGCTAATACTGCCAGGTACAGGATGAGAGTGTCTCCGGGCGTTGGAGCAGAAAGGATTGGGGGTTTTGTCATGTAGCTTTTCAATTGATTGAGAGCTTCCTACTGCTGAGGTCCCCACATATCTTTATTTTTGGATCGAATAGCATCAAAGAAAGGTTTATACTTATCAGATAATCGGGATATGAACCGGCTGAGAGCCACAATTCGGCCGGTTAGAACTTGCACTTCCCTGCGGGTTTTCGGCTCCTGGTTCTGTATGAGTGCCTTTGCCTGAGCTGGGCTTACTTTTATTCCTCTTTTATTTACGACGTGCCCAAGGAACTGTCCTGACGAGACGGCGAAGGAGCACTTGGTGGGGTTCAGCTTCATATTGTATTTCTTGAGAGTATCAAAGACCTCCTGGAGGTGCTTCGGGTGGTCCTCTTTCCGTATACTTTTGACCACCATATCATCGATATAGGCTTCAACTGTATTTCCCAGCAGATTATTAAAAATTTTATTGACAAGTCGCAGGTAGGTGGCTCCGGCATTCTTTAGACCGAAGGGCATCACTCTGTAGCAGTAAGTGCCCGTTTCTGTGATGAAAGCGGTTTTCTCCTCATCTTCAGGATTCATGGGAATCTGATTATAGCCGGAGTATGCATCGAGGAATGTGAGCCTTTCATAACCCGTCGTAGCATCCACCATTTGATCAATCTTGGGCAGAGGAAAGCTATCTTTTAGGCAAGCTTTGTTAAGGTTGGTATAATCTACGCATACCCTCCATTTCCCATTCTTCTTTTGAACGACTACTACATTTGAGAGCCATTGTGGGTATTGCACCTCTCGAATGAATCCTGCTTGTAATAGTTTATTTACTTCCTCAGCTATTATGCGATTCCGTTCAGGTGCGAACCGTCGGTGCCTCTGCTTGACTGGCCTGAACTCTGGGTTAACCTTCAGACTATGGCATGAGACTGTAGGATCGATCCCCACCATGTCCGAGTGATCCCAGGCAAAGACATCCGAATTGCACTGAATGACCCTGATCAATGCTTCCTTCTCTTCGGCTGTGCAAGATGAGCCAATGTAGGTGATCTTCTGAGGGTCTCCGAGGACTACCTCTATAGCTTCGAGGGACTCCTCGGTAGGTGCTTCAGCTTCGGCTTCTTCCTCTACCTTGAGATACTTGGGCAGAGGGTACTGTAACTGCTATTTGATTGCGTCTTTGGGATTCGCCTCTGACTGAGGTGATTTCGACGCTTTCTTTGCTTCATGTAGCGTTAGCATGTAACATTCTTTTGCAGCAACCTGGAATCCGGGGATAAACACCTCATTACTTGATGAAGTGTAGAGGGGACTCCGTTCATACGATGGATCCAACCTCTCCCCATAATGAGGTTATAAGATAGATGAATCTCTGTCACGACGAAGTTTTCCTTCAGAGTCCTCTTTGCTGCAGTAACGGATAGATCGATCACCCCAAGCGGATTCACCTTAGTGCCATCAAATCCCATTAGGGGGCTGGAAGTTGGCCTGATGGATGATGGTGAAACCCCCAACTGATCAAAAGCTGTTTTTGTAATGATGTTGGCGCTACTTCCCGGATCTATCAGCACTCTTCTGATCATATAATTCGCTACCAGGAGGCTGATGACTAAGGGGTCCTCATGCGGGCGCTGGACTTTAGAAAGATCATTGTTACCGAATCCAATGTTGATGCTGCCTGGTGCAATCGTGTTTACCGAAGACAATCTTCGTAACTTATGAGCCTCCCTCAGCCTGGATCTGTACAACTCTTCAGACTCTTCATTATCCTCTGACCTTCCGTGTATAGCATGGATAACCTTTACCTGGCCGCCCTCTACCCGTCGAGGGTTAACCTCCCGAGGTTTTACGTGCTCCTTCGTGGCGAGATACTCCACCAATTCTCCTCTCGCTATCATGCTTTCTACCTGTCGCTGTAGGGACCTGCAATCATTGGTGATGTGCCCATAATCTCTACGGTAGGCACAATGTTTGCTTTTGTCCCTCTGCTCCAAGGGTTGTTTCATGGGCTGAGGAGTCGCAAGCCTCGTCTTATTCTCTTGGAATAGGCGCGCCAAGGTAGTACGGAGAGGGGTAAGCCTGTCATCTGTCCTTCACCTTTTCTCAGACGCTTGGGTGACTTGTGTGGCGGTATGAGGAACCTTCTGCATCCTTGTGCTCGCAGCTTTCTCTCGAGACTTGTTTTCTACTGTGACGAGGGTAGCGTGTTGTGCACGGTGGGCTACGTTTTCCTCCAACTGAATGTAGATTTGTGCCCTAGCGTTCAAAGTCTGCATATCCGGGGGGGAATATTTGACCAAGGATGTGTGAAACTTGGTTCCCTGGATCATTGCCAACTTAAATGTTTCGATTGCCGTGGCAGGGTGGCAATCTGTTATCTCCGAGGCCTCCATGTTAAACCTGGATAAAAAATCTTACAGAGTTTCTCCCTTCCTTTGCCTTATGGTGAAAAGGCTGGCGATACTTTTCTTCTGCTTCTTATTTCCGCAATACTAGGCTAAGAACATAGTGCACAAGGTCTCATAGTCAGGGATAGACTTGTGTGGCCTATTCCTGAACCATTCTAACGTTGCTCCGGTTAAACTGGTAGGTAAAACCTTACATATCCACGGATCGTTATGATCGTCCAGTGCCATCTTTTGCACATAATGATCGAGATGCCGAGCGGGGTCTCCTGCCCCATCGAATTGGGTGAAGGATGGCATAGTGAACTTCTTCGGCCTCTCCACAAGGTACACCTCGTCAGTAAAGGGGGTCTTGACCAAGGAGTTCTTGTGCTCCCTAGCCATCTCGGCTGGTGTCTGGACTCTCAAGAGCTTCTTTTCGTCGAAGGCATCTTGTGCGAGTGCGCCATCTGGAACGCTATTGGACCATACCATAAGCCTATGGCTGGACTCGGCCTGTTCGTCCTGTGTGCGATGCGGGAGATTATCCGAAGCAACCGCCTCGGACCTCATCCCTTGCCTTTGCTGAACCTCACTAGGTCGCGCCCTGTTGGGTGGTGTCTCGTTGGCTGGAGGCTCGTGAACCGGAGGTAAATTCTGGGTGGGGGGTGGTGCTGCAGCATCGCCTGGTGGTGGTTGTGGCGTTAGCCTAGCCATGGTCGTGTGCAGCGTATGAGTCTGCTGCTGAAGCGCAGCTATCTGGGCGACACTCGTATCGTTTGCTTGCCGGAGTGTCTCAAATTGGTGCAAGAACTCTTCTCGCATCTTTTGCATCAATTCTATCTGTTGATTCATTGCTGACTCTCCATTTGACATTCCAGACACGACTAAAGGATTTAATTTGAAGAACAAGTGGGAGTATATTTTTATACGGTTCCCACAGACGGCGCCAAAGTGTAGGTGCAAAATTTCGCTCAACCAATAATGATTGAGAAAAATAAAACAACTCACTCAGAAATAATAAAAATAAATAAGAACAGTGTATAGAGAAGCGTGGAATTGCTTGATCCTTTATTGGAGGTCTTAGCCTCTATTTATACACAAAAGATTGCAAAATTATGGTAGGACTCGCCTTACTTGCCCTCCAATTCTTTCTATATAACCATTCTTTTCTAATAGAGTTCTTTCCATTGTCGAATTTTCCATATATAGAACTTGCCTTGTACAGAACTTCCTATCAGAATTTTCCTTCTACAGTAAATCCTTCAAATGGTATGACTTGTGCATTCTTGGGCTGAATATATTTTGATCCGGCTGGGCTTGAGTAACAGGCCGGATGTTAAATACTCATAAGCTGGGCTGATGACTTCTTGATTCGGCCTTGATGGAAGTTGGAGGACAAATAACAATGGTCTTGGGCTGTAAATACCTTTAACTTGGGCTTGAGCATGATGAGTCTTATATGTCCTTGGAATGTAAACATTGATAGTGATAACGTGTGCGCTTTTTATTGGAGGGAGTTTTTTTTCCCTCCACGATACCCAATGGAGCCTCTCCAAAGATCAAATTCATATGTTTTTATTTCGTCATGTCCCTTTCCAATAGAGATATAATCTGCTACTTGGAGACTAAACCATATAATCATCACCGTGAACATGATAACATTTATTGCCACAAACTTTATACCAGTAACATTTATATCTAGTTGAACAAGTAAATAAATATAAATAAATGTGTACCTTAACCGAAAAAGTGAATAAATAAATAAACAGATCAATAGCTAGCCCAAAAAATAAAATTTCTGAATTTCTCAAACAATAACAATGAATTGATCAATACAGATAATAACACTTAACTTTTATAATATCAGGCTAATCTCAAAAGTTACTAATCTCAAAAGTTATACTTCAAGTGGGCAACTGAAAGCGGCACAGTGGACAGAAGTTACAAACTCCAAGCCATCGAACAATGCAGTCTGTATGAAAATGATGGAAGCAAGACATCCGGGTTGCCTCCGAACCAACCAAGAGCTGTTCCAAGCATATCACACACTTCATCCTAGTACCCGAATTTTCGACTTTCACCCTCTCTAAGGCCTCAACTGATGCCTCACAGGCCGGCACTCGCCTCAACTCCATTGGCACCATTGTATCTGCACCTTCTTCTTCTTCTTCGTCTTCTGCACAACCCACTGCATCTATAGACACTATCGTGGGTAGTACCGGTACGTTTTTTCGGAGATTTTGTTTCACCATTAATTTGGCAGATTGAATGATACCAGGAATCACGAAAGGCTGAACATGTAGGGGGACACCTATGTGATAGAGCATATCTGATATTGTGGACCAATTGTTGTTGTGACATGTCAATCGGTCGCATGGAACCCAAAATTGCATAGACCGTGTGTTGTATTCGTAGCGATCATCATCCTCCGAATCATAATCATCATCGTCCGAATCATCATCATCATCATCGGATGGTGGACATGTGAACCCTACGCGGAAGTCGATGTAGAATTGGTTGTAAGGTTTTGGGTCGGCGATGGCAATGATTCCAAAATCCCCTTGCCATGCACTACACGAATATTGCAATCCATTCGGAGGGAGAACAATCAAAGATCACGACCGGAGATGAGAAAAAAAATACAGAGAGATGATGGTGACCAATGCTTCAGTTGATGGTACGTTGATTGTGTTCTTGTTCTTCTTCTTGTTTCTTGCTCTATCTCTGTTATGATTCTAATGCTGCGTCTACTTCTGCTTCGGTTTGTAAGATTAGGGGGTTGGGGTGGGCTTTTGTTTTGGTTCCTCGTGGGCTGTTGCTTTGGGCCGGTGGTGGGTAGATAGAGATGATGGGTAGGGGGCTCGGGCAAACTACCTAGGGTTTTAATACTGTGCGAGTTATAATAGGATTGGCTACAAAAAAAAAATAGGATGAATTGCAAAAAAACCTCCTCGAGTTTCACCTTTTAGCAAGAAACCTCCCTTAGGAGTGGCAATTCGTGTTGGCGTGTCGTGTTCATGTCGACACGGACACGATTAGGGTTGACACGAACACGACACGATTATTATACGTGTAACACGACACGACACGTATAACCTGTTTAATAAATGGGTCAAGACTTGACATGAAACGAAAAGACACATTTAAGTCATTTTCGACACGAATACGACATATTTTGCTAAATGGGTCATTTTTTACACGAACACGATACGTTTATCTGACACGTTTAGTTAATCGGGTTAATCGTGTCATAATCGTATTTGCAGGGTCAAGCATGTACACGACACGATTATTAATCGGGTCAATCTGTGTCGACACGATTATGACACGAACACGATTAACCCAAACCCTAACCTGTTTATCTCGTGTCGTGTCAAATATTGCCCCCCTACCCCCTCAACTATCATGAGGGGGTATTTTAACTGCGGTTTGTTTAAGGGGTCATCTTTTGGACGAAAATACCCCTTACACATTACACTGTCCCTATCTCATCCTCAGCCGTCGTTTGCAAATCACGTGTTCTGCACCCACCACCATCACCTGCGTCGTCCATAATTCCTCATCACCGTCGACAACCAATCAAGTTCAATTTTTGTCACAGAATAATCTTAACAACAATATTATAAAGCAACACCATGACTCTAATAAGTGATGGATATATTCCAACTTTCAAACTGAATGCTTATCCCCAACAAAAAGGCAAAAAAGAAAGAAAAAAAAAATTAAGTAAAAATGTGATAAAACCTCAAAGCTGTTTTTGTGTATGTGTATGTGAATCTGAAAAATACTTTGCCCCGTCGGCGAAACTGACCCGTCCCGGCGGTGTATTCGTCAACCGCTTCATCCCAGCCAAGAAAATAGAGTGCGGCTCTCCGACGCTCATTTCCACCGCGTGCCGCCTCGGAATCGCTCGAACGGGACTTCTGGGTAACACGAGTCGAGACTCAAATAAGGCAATTTGAACTTCCTCTATAGCTTTCTGTCTCTGATCAACATCAACAAATGAGACGAGTCAATATGAAAAACTGCGAGCCAACTCGGAATCGCTCGAACGGGACTTCCGGCCACATCACATTCTCTCCTCTCGCTGTGTACTGGTCCCACAACTGCGGTTCGTCGGAGAGTATCTCGATGAAGCTCTGGTGTTGGAACCGAGTCAACTCGTGATTTGACTCAATGGACTGTGATAGTGAGAACAGAGAGTTGTAGATGTACCGAAACGAATGGAAGGGAATACGGTGGCGAGGCTGAAGCGGCCGGCGAATACACAGCCGGGACGGGTCAGTTTCACAGACGGGGCAAAGTATTTGTGTGTTACTTTCTAGAAAAATTAATTTATTCTTCAAATTCACACACACACACAAACAACTTTGAGGTTTTATCACATTTTTACTTATTTTTTTCTTCTTTTTTACCCCTTTGTTGGGGATAAACATTCAGTCTGGAAGTTGGAATATATCCGTCACTTACTGGAGTCATGTTGTTGCTTCATAATATTATTATTCTGCGACAAAAATTGAACTTGATCAGTTGTCAGCGGTGATGGGGAATTATGGATGACGCAAGTGATGGTGGTGGGTGCAGAACACGTGATTTACGAACAACGGCCAAAGATGAGATAGGGACGGTGTAATGTGTAAGGGGTATTTTCGTCAAAAAGATAACCCCTTAAACAGACAACAGTTAAAATACCCCCCTCATGATAGTTAAGGGGGGGGTTTTGCTAAAACAATTCATAAGGGGTATTTTTTGCTAACCGGTGAAATTCGAGGGGGTTTTTTGCAATTCGCCCAAAAAAATATATTAATAATAATTTGTCATATGTCTAGTTATGTACAAAACAATATCTAGTCATGTACAAAACAATATGAACTCTTGATGACAGATTCATTATTAAAATTGTGACGGTCTGTCTTATTAAAAGTCATTAAATATTGCACTTCACTTTTTTTCGATTGCACTACATTTATCTTTTTCTTTTACAGAAAATGACAAAAAGGTTCTTAAATTCATTAATACATTATCCCTGAATTTATAATGCCATAATTACCATTTATATAATTTTAACTTTTTTTTACCTTTTTTACTTTATTTACTATTTTTTTCTAGAGGTCCTCTCAAAGAAAATAATTTATTCTATACTAATAATTTAATTTTTGACAGTCAAAAGAAATAATTTATTCCACAATAACTTTTTTTTTTTCATGGTACAATTGAAAAGGATATTTATTCAACAATGTTAACCTTTTTTGAGTCAAAAGAGGTAACTTTTTTTTTTTTATAATTTTTTTATGGGTCCTGTCAAAAGAAATAATTTATTAGATAAAAAATAACCTTCTTTTTTTCTTTTCTTTTTTTTCTTTTTTTTTTTTTTGCATCTTATCAAAAGAGATAATTTATTCAATATAGATAAAAAATAAAAAATAAAAAATAAAAAATAAAAAAAATTTAATCCTCTTCTTTTCATACTTTTTTTTGGGGGGGGGGAGGGAGGGATAATTTCTTCTATAAATATTTTTTTTCGGGTTTTTTTTTCGTGTCAAAAGAGATAATTTTTTAATGGTTACTTTTTATTTTTTTGGTCCGGTAAGAGTCAATTTATTCAACATAAATTTTTATTTCTTGGTCCCGTAAAAAAAAATTATTCAATTATTCAATTAAGACCTAAATAATAAAGACTTAAAGGATAGTTTTGTCATTTTAAAAGTAATAATTATTTATTTATAAAGTTAGTGTTAGAATTGTCATTTTATTTAATAATTATAGTACAACCATTGAAAAGTGGAGTGCCAATATCGCCTCTCTTATACAAAGCTGTATGTATAAATTGTGGGGACCCATAAAGTGAAAATTAAATTCATTAAATATTTCAATATATATATATATATATATAATATATATATGTTTTATACGAAATGTGCACGGGCATGTATAAATTGATAACTTCATGAATACGAATTTAACTCAAGTGCCAAGTCAGCATTTTTACCCCTCGCTAGACCAATCCACTGAGAGAGTAAATGGAGAGTGAGGTCGTTTTTTTTTTTTTCCTTTCATTTACCGAAGAAAATACATTAATGTTTTTTCATATTATGAGTCAATTAAATAATTAACCTTTAGGGTCATCACTAGCTTCATAGTTTAAGGGGTGACTCTGTAATTTAACCTTAATAGATGGTAAATCACTCCGTCCATGGCTGCTCTGCTTCGAGTGCTATACCGATTCACACTTCACAAATTTATAATCAAATACAGGTCCCTTAATTTTTATCTCTCTCTTTTATGTCTCTTTTTGTTTATCTGATACTATTATATTATGTGTAGTGTAGTGTAAAGAGTCGGTGGTTTTACTGTTTGATATATTTTCTCTTATGCACGTCTAATTTAAACAACATTTCTGTAGTCTTCTATACTTCATCTGTATATATATATATATATATGTATCCTCCAATGACAACACACTCTAACTCAGTCAATAGTAATGTTACACAACATGAAAATGATAATTATTGTGTCTAAAGGTCGAAATAATGACATTTTGATAGTTCCTTGACAAGATGTAAATTTCACTCTTATTCTGGAAAATTAGAAACAAAAAAAGGGGGACTCTTTCTGTGATGCACAGAGGAAAAAGAGTTTGATGTCCACAAGCAGCCCAAAATGGCTGTTTAAATAGGCCTCCTCCATGTAAATGGAAAAGTGATTAAAATTCCCAAATGGTGTTAGTTTTTTTTTCCCCCTTCATTTTGCGAGACGAACAAAGCAAATTAGAAATAAGGTTTCTTGCACGAGGACGTAATGAACAAAATTAAATATCTAAATGAGTATACATTCAATGAAGAAGAATGTCCTGAATTAAATATATGTGGATTATACTTGCACAAAGCCACCAGTAGTTAGTTGCATCCCGTGAACGTAAGACTTTCAAGTGCTACCAAGCACTGTATGAATGCTTCACTGAGGCTTCTTTCAAACACATCTTTATTGGTAAACTGGATTTGGTATGACTTTTAAGATTAGTGACATTACACTCCGCCTATGCATTTCCTTCTAATCCATGGACAGACCTTTGTGGTAACAAGAACTACCATCAAGGTACTTTTCCGAGTCCAAAATTTAAGAAATTAGCCACATTATGACTCCCCAATTTCTAGTTCAAATAGTTCCAATAAGTGGATCATCAGTTAGCTACTAACGTCAGCTGATAAAATTTCATGATGGCACTAAATGCTTTCCGAAGATTGCCCAAATCCATATTATTGAAATGCTAAGATAAACCCCTATTCTATTGGATTGGTAGTATTGCATAAATCAAATTGTCCTATATTTGATATGGTTACCACAAATTTTTTAAGATTGCCTTTAATTGACATATTGATCTTACCAAAAAAAAAAAATCTAAGACTAATCATATCAAATATGTGAGTTTATAATTTCTATATTTTTTTCTAAATTATAAATTTTATAAATATACATGATTCTTTCTAGAAATCATTTAATTTGAATTTTTTTTTTTTTTTTTGGTAATCAAGCTTTTCATCCAAGAAACAACTTAGTACAAGAATTCAAGGGGCATACCCCTATTAAAAAAAAAAAAACCAGAACCACCGGTCTAAAATGAAAATATGAAAGAGAAAAATTGGAGGAAATGAAATTACAAAGCATGAATCTTGCACAGCGAACAAAGTCACCTATCAGAAACTTTAAAGACAAAGATCCTAAAAACATGAATAGCTAAGAATTGAATAACAAGGAACTGAAATCCAAGACTCCATCCGTGCTGCAAATTGAAACCCAGGCCATGAACATGGCAAAATTACCATAGCAAAGGCCAAAGGTTCAGCGTATAAGAACGCAAGTGGCCAAAATAGAAGCATACCAGAAATCATTGAAAATTTCTTTAGGTAAGCTCCACAGAATTTGAAGATGCTTACTAATAGAAGAGGGAAGGACAGCTCTGAAAGTCGAAACTAGTGAGCGTCAGCCTTAATCTTTCTGAATTCTCAACCAATCTGATGATAGCAAGACGATCCATTAGAGTGTTGGCAAACAACCTATTCTTCCTTCCAACCCAAATATAATAAACACCAGTTGAGAATTCAAGAAGAATGGGACACAAAAGCCAGACTTAGAACTAATCATCCTTGCCTTAAAACTCATATAAGTGGGCAATATTTTCTATTACATGCCACTTCACCTACTATATTTAGCTTTTTTAAGTCATGTTTAATAACTTGATCCAAAGTTATTTTTGGTTCCCATGTATGGTCTCTTACTTTCTCTTACAACTAGTATTCCTCATTTGACCGCGTCACTACGTCTCCAATTTAAGTGTCCAAACCATCTAAATATACTTTCTCTAATTTTCCCACCATAGGTGTCACGCCTAATTTTTGTCTCACACTTTCATTACTGACCCTATCTCTTCTAGTATCTTCACTCATCCATCTTAACATTCTCATTTTTGCTACATGAATGCCTTGTTCTTGTTTCTTTTTTAGGGCCCAACATTCTGCTCCATACAACATAGTTGGTCTAATAATGGTTCTATAGAATTTTTCCTTTTAGCCTATGTGCTATGCTTTTGTCACATAATATCCCACTAGCTTGTCTCAATTTTATCCAACTCGCTGCTTCAATTCTACTTGTTATATCACTATCTATCTCTCCACCATTTTGTATTATCGATCCTAGATAACAAAATTGGTTGTTTTGAGTAATCTTTTGGTTTTGAAGTGTTATTATTATATTATCAATGCCTGAATCTTTATTTATGATGTCAAATTTTGTAACGAATATGACAGACAAAGAATAGATGGTTGTGATCTACTATACAAACACCACAAAAGGCACAGTTTGCTGCTCCTAAAAGACCATGCTTATGAAGTCTATCTTGAGTTTGAAGCTTGTTTAAAATGGCCAATAAAACTGAATCTAGGGACATGACCTTTAAACCAAGCCAAATGGGACCATCCCACCTTAGGAAATTGAGGTTTGATACAGAACCACACATATTTTTAAAAAAACTTATCAGTTGGAGAACAAAACCATGATAGTAAGTACTTGACCAACATGAAGCCAATTGTCAAACCAGAGAGAATTCAAGGGTCCATTACCAAATGTATGCTTTATACAAGGTCCAAAAGTTTCTCTTGACTGCAAAATCTTCCTCCAAACCCAAGAACAATTTGAAGGAATCTTAACATCCCATAAACTGTGACCTTCTATAATATATGTATGTATCTGCTCAGCAGTAATAGTTTTATTCCAAATATACAAGCCGCCTTCTTGAAAATCACAGGATATAGCTGACCAAACAACTCTAGAAAAAGTAGAATTCTCAACTCCTTTCCATAAATCAGATCTGATTTTGGTCTGAGACTTTCTTGGGCAAGACAAAATGGGAAGACCAAAAAACTTGAAAGGAAAAAAACACACTTTTGATGAGCTGGAGCCTCCCAGTTTTTTATCTTATTACTTTTCAAGGCTGTCCCTCTTGAATCATTTTCTGGCTCCGTCACTGTCTGCAGCTGGATGTTAACCATGTATATTTTACCTGTGTTGTAACTCATCCTAGATTAAAAGTTATTGCTGTTTAAAATTTGGACTAATTTTTTATAGTTTCGGATTAAGCTTTTGATAGTTTAACTACTCCAGATAGTTCGTGCCACCTGTTCAGCATCACATAAAGTTGCTTCTACGCACACCTTCTCAATCAATGTAACTGCTCAGACTAAACTGTAAACTAACATGAAACTTTGAATAAATGGAAGGTGAATCAGCAAACAGACCAACACGTGACTTCATAAAATAAAAATTGTTCTCATACAAACCATAGATACAAAAGAAGTGGAAACCAATATTGGTTTTTGACAAACCTATCTCTACATATAATTGCTCACTAACAATTAGACTAACAAAATTACATTTCCGTATCACAACATACACATGCATCTGCCCTTAATTGGGGTCTTGATCGGTCTTTATATACCAGCTGCTCTTCCTAGTCTCTCTCTTAAAATCTTCACTCCCATGTACCTGTACAAGTCCAAATCATGAGAATAAACCATGTGTGCTTATTACTCTCCTAAAATCACAGAGGAATAATAGAAAAACAAGAATCAGGACAATCTTTTATAAGGTTTACCTATACATTGTATTAAGATCTTACCTGCCCATCATCAAGACAGTGGCTTGTGGATTAGTGCCTGGCGAATTGATAAACGTCGAGCCATCAATGACACGGAGTCCATGGACGCCGAGTACCTTGTACTCAGGGCTCACCACCTTGCCCACTTGGCACCCACCATGGTAGTGCCAAATTGTGATCACAGTGTCTTTGCAGAACTGCTCCAATGACTCTGTGTCATTAGTGTGTTTTGGTATAAGGTTCACATTAGCTATCACACTCATGTTGATCAGCTTGTCCACTGATTGTCTATCAAACAGTGTGAAGTTTGTGAAGTGTTTGGAGCTCACAAGCTTCTCCACGATACGAATACCTTCAACGCATCGCTGTAGATCATCCGGATGGCTGAAGTAGTTGAAGGTGACAGAGGGGTTGTCGTTGACGTTGGTGTTGATCAGGCTGAGGTGGCCTGTTGAAATGGGGTTGGCAATCTTTTCTAGAATGAAGCCTCCCATGAATGCTTCACGGGGAAGGTCTCTCTTGTTTTTTCTGTAGGCCTGAATGGCTTCTTGTGTTCTCTGTCTTGGAGGTATAGTAGAGAGCTGCCCAATCTGGTTCATTACACGCAACATGCAGTTACTTGTGTGCGTGTGTGTGTGTGCTCAATAAGTATTCTATCAATTACACATAATTTGCAGCTACATACATATATAGTTCTATAAGTAGTCTTATCAATTTTTATGTCAAAGTGATTTTTGGATATGCATGTAGACCTACTTTAAAGAAATTAAACAGACTTCATAGGGGGAATTGGGAGAAAATTTATATCAATTGCCATGTGCAACCATTCTAGTTATGTTCATTAGAAGTCATTCTTCTCTGAGGCTTCTTTCAAAAGCATATTTTTGGTAAACTGGCTTTGGTATGACTTTTAACTTGTAAGATTAGAGACATTAGCCTCATAGTATTCAGTCTATGCATTTCTTTCTAATCCATGGACATCTCTTAATAGCAACAAGAACTACTATCAAGGTACTTTCCCAACCCAAATTTTAGCAAATTAGCCACAACAACTGAATTTATAGTTCAAATAGTTCTGATAAGTGGATCATTAGTTAGCTACTAACCTCAGCTGATACAATTCCATGATGGCAGTGAATGCTATCCAAAGACTGCCCAAATCCACTGCTAGCCTCAATGTACACACCCCTCTTGGTAATCCCTACAGTCTGTATCAGTGTCTGCTCCACAGGTTGATTAGCGGGAATAAAAACAGTATTCAAGGGGTTATCAGACATGCCTTTCCCAACAAACTCATTGTCAAGCACCACTGAAATATTCATCTTCTTGAGGTCAGCCTTAGGTCCAATACCACTGAGTAGCAGCAGCTGAGGGCTTCCAATTGCTCCACACGACACTATTATCTCACTGCTCGGCCTCTTTGCAAGAAATGCTCGGTGTTGTGTCCCATGTTCATCCATGAAGATCACTCCTACTGCCCTCGGTTTTTTCCCTGTATTGGACATTATAAACTCATTACTGCCTGTTAACAAGTACACATTCTATAGTTGCCAATCTTACTGGTTTATTTACGACTAAAAGCCTATACTGAGTACGTGCAACTAACGAACCTGTTACATTGAATATGATCTTTTGTACTGTAGCATGAATCAAAACATGAAGGTTCTCGGAATTCGCGGAAGCAAGTAGCTCTGCAGCTGTGTGACGGCGACCAAAGTTGTCAAAAATGGTTCCCCCAACCTTGGTTCCACTTAGGTGATCATAGGTGAATCCATTGAAGGGTAAGACCCCAACTTCCAAAAGACTGTCCCTCACCGCTGTCTGCCATGGCCCAAGCTTTGGCTGGTAAACAATTTGCTTCTCAATCCATGGGTATGACTCGTTCACCAGTTTAGCATCCCAACCTGCTTTTTTAATATAACTGCAGGGCCAGAAATTTCAGCGTCAACACAAATTAACGTAACTTTCAATATTCAATTATTTGATCAATCAAAAAATAATGGTCTATCAAGGGCTGCATGACTACTATCCAAATAAGCCATCATTTATACTACTATCACCCATTTATCGTCATGGTTTCATGTTACTAACACACTGCTTATATAGCTATATAGCATGTTCTTATCTCAAGTTCTCAATAAGAAATCTTTTATGTTGTTATGTTGCCAAATTTTCTAATTGCACATTGTCTAAGTTGAAATAGGGGAGGAATTTTGGCCACAAATGTCATCCAATTGGAGGAGCTGGAAATGTCCCGCCAAAGCTGGACAACCTCAAGGCCGAAGTACAAGACCCTTTGGAAGAAATCAATCTTGGTACCAACCAAGATCCAAGACCGATCTTCATCAGCAGTCTTTTGGGTGAAAAGTTCAAAGCCAAGTTAATCAATCTCTTGATTGAGTTTAAGGATTGCTTCGCATGGGATTACTTGGAAATGTCCGGGCTGTCAAGACAGCTAGTGGAGCATGAGAGTTGCCCATTAATCCATATGCAGCTGAAGATAGTCTTATTGGTAATCTCTGCCTAATCAGAAAGCTCTTGCAGTACATATCCCTAAAATTAGTATTTGATATGGTTTTTCCAAAACTTTCTGTTTCTCAACCACACCCAACTCAGTTATAACTTGTTAATTCTGTTAAGGTAAAGCATTAAGCCAAACCAGCTACAGATCAAGCCTTTTGAACTTGTAGGTAAGTTTTTGAATCACACTTTTTAATCGAAATGAATACATGACATGTTGTGTGGCATGATTAGGACATATCTGAGCTGCAAAAAGCAATTTTTGTAGTTCAATGCCAAAATATATTGGTGGTTGTGGTTTGGTTAATGTAGGGTCAAAGATAGTTTTCATTCACCATATACTTGCCATAAATGTGCAAATATATTTAAATCTACATAAACTCTCTACCTAATCACCTTTATGCATGAGAAAGTTTGGAAAAAGTTGAAATGAGGACCACCCTAGAATTTAACACAAGCAAATGAAGAGGTAGATGAAATCATAAATGCTCTGAGTTGAGTACAATGATATGTCATCTACATCATATGATCACCATTAGCACTTGCAACCCTCATTAATCAAGCCTCATCAAACCATCATGGCCGTTAATGTTCGTGACTTTGACTAACATGGTTTCATGACCAATCAGCAGCTAGAAGACCAACCAGGACTCCTAGTGAGGCCCATTAGACTAATAATGACAATCAATTTATACTTTATTAATTTGAAAAGACCATGAGACTATACTTGTTAGTACTTAGGTAATAAATTCTAACAACATATACATCTAGAGAAGCATTAAATCTTTAATCATAATATGTCTTTGTGATAATGACATTGTACTAGATGATGAGAACAATATGTTAGATAATCATACCCTCTTTTCTCTTTCCTTTTGTAGGGTGGAACCCACTATGACTTAATTAAACTGTTCTATCACTTATGTGGCTTTCAATAGAATAAGAGGTGCCAACTCTAGGAAAAGCCAAATATGAACATCATTATACATAAACAAACCATGTTAAATGTGGGCATGGTGGTCTTTTCAATATGAATGTGTGTGTGTTTATAGATACACTAGGCTGTTGGCTTGAATTAGTAAAAATTTCCAATTCATAGGTAATACTAAAAACCTACCTTTGCACTAAAGGAAATGAGTACAATACCAACTATAGGTCAATGTTTTAAAGATTGGTACTAGCGTAGTAAGAACATGGTCAAGCAAGATTTAGATATGTAAACACAATTTGCATTAGAAAAATTAAATGGTTACAAGTTCAGAAAAACTATACAATCCATAAGTTGTGTAGTTTTTTTTTTCTTTTTTATGGAAAAAGGGTTTGAACCCCAACTCTGCTCCAAAGACCACGGTAATTAATATCTGAGTTTTTTTTTTCTTTTTTCTCAATAATTAGTGAGTTACCACTAGAACAATAGATATTAGAACCGTAGAAATGATTAGCAGTCTAACCACCAGGCCTCTAGTCCAGATGGTATGATCTCTCCTTCCCAGAGAGGAGGTCCAGAGTTCCAAGCCCTACTAGGGGCTTGTTGTGGGTATGGGTGGGCGTGTTCGCTTTTAACTTTTAATAATAATAATAATAATTAACAACCTAAAAATGCTTTGGTCTGTATAGTTTGTGTACCCCCACCTTGCACACAAACACACACAGATTGGCACCCATACCTTGAGCTTGCTCTGGTGTAGAAGCCAGCATTGATGCAAGTGCCTCCACCCAAGACTCTAGCCCTAGCATTGAAGACCCCATCAGTTGAAATGAAAGTTTGGGAAGCAGATCTTGGTGAAATGTCTGCTAGAGAGATGTGAAAGTTTCTCAAATGAGAGACATTGAGGTTGGCAAAAGGTGCACCCCCTCTTTCTAGCAATAACACATTGAATTTCTGAGAGAGGGTAGCAGCTAAGGGGCACCCAGCTGTGCCACCCCCTACAATTATGTAGTCATACGCCTTGTAGCCACCGTGTGATGTAGCTGATGATGATGATGGTGATGGTGAAAAAGTGCTTGCTTGTTTGATGAATGGATATCTATCTTCCCAGAAATTCTTCTTACCTGCATTACACTTTTCATATATGTCACAATAATATGTCCAACATTATACACAAACAGATCATATTACACACACACATATATATGCAATATAGTTTGTGAAATTATGTTCAAGAATGTAGTAAATTTGGCTAAAACGTCCACAAAACCTTTTCTGTCCAAAAACCCAAATATTTGTTATGTTTTGCAGTATCTTTACACTGAAAATGCCACTAGCTCACCAAGAAATGTTGCACTTTGAGGTTTTGGGATAAACCCATTAAAAAAAAATTAATTTAATTGATGATCAATATAAATATGATCTGATCTGCTGTAGATCTTTTTTATTTGGTTCTTAGAAAGAGAGAGAGAGAAGAAAAAATAAAATGCATTAAGAAGACTCCCTTAATTTTTCTTAATCCCTATGGATATTCAGTCACAATGTTACTAGTTTATCCCTCTAGCACTACTGGGGGAGAGAGAGAGAGAGAGAGAGAGAATAAGTACTAACTAAAACAAAGGAAGATGAGGCAAATGCAAGGAAAATTCAAGCCAATGACTTCTTCCTCCTCCATAAAAATTGAAAGAAAATGTAGAATAAAGAGTAATTCAACTATCAAATTCTCTCTATGTATGTGTGTTTGTGTGCAGAGAACTTTATATATATATATATATATGAAGAGAGAGAAAGAGAGATGATCAATATCAAAAACAAATTTTAAAAAAACCCACATATATATGTGTGCGTGTGTGAACAGTGAAAGAGGTGGAAGCAGAGACCTTGACAAGAAGTGAGTGTAATGAGCCATAGAAGTAAACAGAGAGAGAGTCTCTCTGCTGCACAGCCAACCAAAGCCATTGAGAGCAGACAAACACCTCAGAGAAATTGGACTCAGCAGCTGGAGAAGTGGTTCCCCTCTTCAACCTATCCTAGATGTGGCTGCCTCTGGTTGGCCTTATTTCTTGTGTAACACATACATTATATATGTATATATATACACTCTTTAATATAGTAATATTGTAATAACTATCTCATAATAATATATTTGCGAAACTAACATATAATGATGAGAAAACCAACAGAGGCTTCTTCTTTTTACTGTCTTTAAGAACACAGAAACTACACCAAGGGGGGCATTTAATGGAGAAATGAATGCCACAGTTGGAGCAGTATTTAATGCCATTGATGAAACTTCTTCCATTACCGGACAGCTCACAAATAAGACCAGCCTGCATTTCAATTTGAAATTAACATTTACCACCAAAAGAGGACCAGCTTTAATTAGCTTTCGTATTTGGGTAACCAAAAAGAGCTAAAATTAATTCAAATCAGTGCACCTAACAATGCATTTGGATTATTTAAAAATAGCTGGAGAGAAAGGACATGAAAGGAGAAAAAGTCTATGCCAGTACAACTATAACACGCGCATAGCATAAATCAGTTTCAGTTTCACCACACTGTAACTTTTTCCATTTTATCAATGTCATAGCTTTAGTAATGTACCATCATGACTTTTCTAAATGAGTCCGCAGTTGTCTCCCTTCACCGTCACTTGGCATTACCTTTATAAGAATAATATATTCGGTGTGTCTGGTGCACCGGACTCATCAGAAATGTCCATTCTCAGGCACTCCGACGTGCTATGCAACCGAATACAGGACCCTTGTCATTATGTTTGTTCTAAAAAAAAAGTAAAAAGGGAAATGAGAGGAATAGAATGGGAAGGAGAGAGCCAGATTTTGCCACAGTTCATTCCTGTCTTTCAGATTGTCTCATAAAGAAGTGCTTGTAGCTGGATAATACACAGGGTCTTCTTTCCCTGCTCATTCTCCAAGCTTGTACCTTAGTTGTGGTTTCGCGTAGTAGACAAGAAGGGTGGGAATCTCGTTAATCCATTAATGTATCTTTCTAATATATATATATATATATATATATATATATATAGGATAATGTTTAAAACAATAACTAGTGATATACTCATTTGTCTCAATATCTTATTGTGAATTTGTGAGTGTATTCATGATTTACTATAGAGCTAAATTGCATAAGACCTCCCTCCAATTTCAAATTTTGGCACATAACCCTTACCCAAAAAAATAAATAAATAAATTGACCTAAAACTGCATTGTATTATCCAATTGTTGCAGTGCCCTTAGGGTGTCAATTTTGGGGCTAATGGAGAGTTGAATGGACCAAAATACTTTGCAACAGGTGTATTGTAAAAATATGAAAAATTCAGAATTATTTTTCAATAATAAAATTAAAATTATTGTAAAAAATGGATAAATTTGAAATTTGAAAAGGACTTTAATGCTTATGGATGAAACTATTTTATTTTTTAGAATTATTTTTCAGTGATAAGATTAAAATTAATACAAACAACTCATTCGGCATAGTGTTGTCAAAAAAAAAATTCAGAAAAAGAAATATTTAAATGGATTACATTTGTATTAAAAACTGATTAGATAAGTCTATATATAAGAAAATTAAAACACCTTGGAACAATTTTCAAAATTTTCTTAAATTTCTATTTTAAAAAAATTAAAAACGAAAAGAAAACCCAAAATAAAAATCATTTTAAAGAAATCATAAGGACCTGGTTTATAACTTTGAAAACAATTCTCAAGAATTCAGAAAACAGAAAACTATTTTCAAAAATTATAAAAGATAGTTTTCTGAAAACAAACTTTTTTATAATTGGGTTTTATAAAAGAGTTTTCAAAAAACTGAACCAAATATAGTTTTCCTTACAATTTTCTGTTTTCAGTTTTTAGAAAACAGAAAACTATTCTCAGAGTTGCAAACCAAACAGAAATCAAATTTTTTTTATACAAAGTATTGTGCGAAAAATTGAAAATGGAGTGGGAATTAATGCAATGTGTCCAAATTTTTATTAATGAGAATTTTCATCATTGAAACTCGTGCACATTTTAGCTATTAAATTATAACGGATACGTGACGTTGGGGGCCTATTGCAACAAATGAATAGTTTAGGAGGGTTTTGGGTAATTTGTAAGGAAATATTGTGCCAAAAATTGAAAGTGAAAAAAGAGTCTTATGCAATTTGCATTTCCCTTTTCTTTCTTTTCTTTCTTTTTTTTATATAATATTTCAAACAATGATGAAAAAGTGAATATCCTTTCTTTTCTCTTACTAATTATCTAAACACAAGTAGAGCTTAACACTGACATCTTCCATTTCTTTTTCATTTTCTTTTTCCTTTTATCATGAATAATTTTATTATATATTTCCTTTATTTCATCACATGCTTGTTCAAATGCAATGCAAGTGATTGAATTTATTGCAGTCCCCCAATCGGTTGATCGATGGAGCTGGCTAATACATAGTCCGTATATGTATATATATATTCAACACAACCCATGTGGCATGACAGTGTCCCACGTGACAAAGTTTCAATAATTTGTTGACCAGTTTTTGTCAAAGTCTATTTCAGTTCATATTTACTAGTATTCTCGAAACAAAAATATGGCGAAAATTGGGAAATAAGTGGCATGTCAAAATATAGGAAAAATTACCATCAAGTCCTATTTTTCTAATTGAAAGGTAAATAAATTTTAAAAAGTTTCCCTTAGAACCAATAAATTTTACTTTTGATTTATTTATTTTTTATTTAAGCCTTAAATCACTGAATCTTCTATTATATCCTTAGTAAATTAGATATACTCCTGCTAAATTAGATATAAAATCAAACTTTGATATATCCGCTTACAAAATTAGACCCAAAAAAATTGAATAAAAAGAAAAAAAAAATTCATTTTATTGATTTTTAATAGATTAGTTTTAAAAACATGTACTAAAATAGTGCATTTCGACGCAAGAGTTTTTTTAAATTGAATTTAAATTAAATTAATTATTATTTTAAGTCATAATGCAATATTATCAAGTAACTAAAACTTAGAGGAATCTATATATCGCAATTGTTGAATAAATTTATAATAATAAAATTTTACTTTCTATTTAGTAAGGGTATAAATGAAAGATTTAGTGATTTTGGACTTAAATGAAAGAAAAAAAAAAATTTAAAAGTAATTTTTGTTAGTCCTAGAGAAAATTCTAGGACTTATTTGTCTTTCAACAAGAAAAGTAAGTTTTGGTAAAAAAAAATTCTAAAATACAAGAGCGGGTGCTACATACACCAATGGAGTGAATATCAATAGTTTTTTTATTAGATGAGAATCAAATTCGACTAGATACTAGACATAAGTAAGCGAGAAATAAGATTGGATAAATGCCAAGGATAAACACAATTATAGGTGATTTTTGGACTAAGCAACCCAAGCCAAAGGCCCTTCCATTTCTTTCTATTTCTTTTAAAATTTAAAACCTTCAAAAACTTAATAATGAAATTAGATAATAATCAAATCATCTATTCACTCCTTTCTTTTCCTTCTCCAATTACTTTTTCTTCATTAATTGGAATTTTTAATCATTCATATAAAATGGAGTACTAGTTTTTGAAAGTGAGACATTGCGGCTCAACCATTTTTCTTTAAGCATACGGATGAAGTGTTGCTTTAATTTCTTTTTTTGTGAAATGGGGTATTCAATTTTTTTTAATTGAAACAGCTAAACTAACAAATAAATGCACTAGTCGATTTATGTTTTGGAGCAAGTGAGCAATATGTTATGAAGAAATTTTAAATATCAGTACTTATGATTCATTTAGGAGTATCAAATTTTCGTCTTCAATTACAATTTAAAAAAAAAAAAAAATGCTTAAATTTTTTCAATTTTAATTTTAGTTCTATGGTGTTGATTTGGAACTTTCAAACATAGTATTGAAATAGAAACGATTGTCCATTTATTCAAAAGCTGCATACCCATCCATTTATATCTAATCATTTGTTCATCCGGATCTGATGTGGGACAAATATCCCCCTCGTATCATTCTCCCCCATCCAAACCCTCAACGGTCTCATTGCGGTCGAGCCACCCTACCTACTCGAATGGTTCACCCAGAAACCTTTCGGGCTAGGCGCTTGGCGTAACATCGAATTAAGAATTAAGTTAGGCTCTGATACCAACTGTTACGGGTGGGCGCTTACTCATTTACCCAAAAGCTTGAGGTATTGGGTATATTATATATCCACCTATTTATACTCAATCACTTTTTCATCTGGATATAATACGAGATAAATATCTACTTGTAACATAAATGAAGTCTACGTCAGGACAAATTTTTTCCATATGTAATCTCTGTCTCATGACCATTGTCCTGACTTCTCTTTCTTTTTATTGTAATTATGTACAAATATTAAGGCTTGCATCTAACCGTTTAACCATAAATACAGTCAAAATTTGATAACAAAATTTATTTACTGCAAATTATCCGAATCAGTCAAATTTTAGCACACTCTTTCTCTCGACTTCATTTCACCAAATTACATGCACTATCAATTTTGATTGTATAATTTTATTTCATGGTATTTTGAGCTGATTTTTTTCTTCTTTATAATGAAATCACCATAATATTAGCTACGTAACTATGTAATTGTGCATTATTTTATTTTTATGTTTTTTTTTTTGTTTAAAATGTGTTAATTTAAAAGAGAATTCGTGACAATTGTCATAAGATATATTGTCCTAAAGTAGAGCTCAGAATAGCATTACTCTATTAGAGTACATCCTCATATATATATATATATATATATATATACACACACTATAATGTGGTAAATGTCACATTGCATGGTCCATATATAATTTGCATACCTGTAACTCAGATTTACTTTGAACACAATAATCACCCAACCCGGACCTGTCCCATTAACACCACAGAGACATTTGCACGAGAACTAGCTATCTATCCAGCTGTTGAAAAAAAAAAATATATATATATATATATATATATAAATAAAAGTACAGATAATATTATGGTAATTTAAGAACAATAACAAAGGTAGATATATAATTTACTGCAAGACATTTATTTCGAAATTACTGGACTTGCATTTCCACCATTAATATTTCGCATTGTATTGTCACCGACCTGCAACCACAACAGTGTCGTACATGTCATGCATTATGTTACACTTATTGCATGTATGTATATATGTACATATACAATTAAATATACATACATGTGTGTATATATATAACCCTTAAGAATGTGCTGTTTTGACATCAATCATGGAATGTGTGGATGCCATGGTACCACTAATGTCATGCTCTCCATGCATATTGTATATATTACTTGTGTGTAGGTGGAGAGTCATCAAACTTAATTAATGGCATTCACGTCAGAACTCCAAAGGAGGGATGAGATATTACTATTTACTCCAATAAGTATCTGATGGTAATTAAACTATATTACAAATTTATGGAGATGGTAATTTTTAGTTTGTTTTTTTTTTTTTTGTTTTTGACCTTTTCTCTATTTTAAAAATCATATACTAATATATTGATACTTTTTCCTTTTCCATGTCATGAGAATTTTTTTTTGATAATAATTTTTAATATATTCTTTGTCTTTATTATTTTTACTTTGTTTTTCAACAAATATATAAGGTCAATATGGAGGTTGACTCACATTGGGACTTGAAAATTGGACAAGATTAATTCTGACGTAAATTTTTATTTTCGTTACTTAACCAACCATTAGAATAACCTCTCCTCTCAAAATATATATATATATATATATATATATATATATATATATATAATTGTGTTACATCTGGAATCCTGTGATCAACGAAATAATTCTCTCTCAATTCAATTTTCGATGATGATAAATATGTAATGTGTATATGTGTGTGTGTGTGTGTGTGTGTGTGTGTGGATAATGGATATTAATCACTTATTGAGAAAGACAAAAAGAAGGGTTTGTAAAAGGAATTAATGACAAAGACAGAAAGAAGGCTTTGCAGACTTGCAGCCAATCAACGATGATGTTTTAACCAAAAGCCATGTGTAAAAAACGTGTAATATACGGATTTTTATATTATATATATATATATATATATATATATAGATGATTATAGAGGTTTCAGTGCTCATTCAATTATCCACAAAATTCTACCCCGTTTCCTTGAATTTCTAGTAGACTCAGAAAGCTGGAATCTGTGAATCCCAAAACATTTTTTTGGGGAAACAAGCCAAACAAGACTTTGTTTCCGATATTTCCCACCACTATCTTCAATCTTTACTCTAATCTTTGACATTAACTGAGGCTTTACATTCATTTGGTAATTCCAACCTAACACATTGACTTTACTCAAAACAAATGTTCAATCAATTTATTTGAAGTAGAAAAAAAATTGCTACTTTCACAACCCTTAGGGTTGCATCCATAACGTCCTTTTGTACAATAAGCTTATTTATTTAGCCGAACAATAAAACCGATGGAGCTCGGCCCAATAAATAAATTTAAATAGGTTAGAGAAATCGGAACAAGAATAGAATTCCATCTTTTTTTAATCATTTATTATAGGTGAACCTTTAAATACTATAAAATAAAATAAAATTAAACATTATGCAGGACTTGTCAAATGATTTATTCTGATCCATTAATTTATCTAGATTAGAAAGAGTTAAGAAGGAAAATGGAGTTAGTTGACACAAATTCATGTGAATTTTAAATCTGCATTGGTTTTATTTCTTAGAAACCATAACTCACAAAAAATACTTTCGACAGTCAAAAGGCTTCACAATAAATAATGGGCACGTTGAAATTTTTATTATATGGTTGTGGATGATCTGTCACTTTACAATCTAAATTCTGTATACTATCTTATTACACTCTTGTAAGTCCACATATCTTAATCGTAGAATCTTAATTGAACTGAACTACTAGGTGTTACAGTTCATAACTATTAAATAATTTCTCGACAACCTCACCTAACTAGCTTGTGACACTGAATATTTGTCTTGAATCCCACCTCATTGAAGAGAAACTACCTAGCTTCAAGCTTCTTGTGAGAAGGCAGCTGCCCTCACAGTATTAAATAGAAAAACAACACTTTTTGTACTGGAATTTCATTTATTGATCTAAACCACCATTCTACTTTTGAGCATTGTAATGTATAGGCTGCACCTACAACACACACACACACACACACATATATATATTCTCCTAAAAATCGAAACCTGAACTAACTCAAATCCACCAACCTGAATGTGATGAGCTTAAGACATGTTAACAACTGATGACACCGTCCCTCTTGAATTCCTCATTAATCCCCATCTCTGCAGACTTCATTCACATTCAATTCAATCTAACAAGCAAAGCAACTCTAGGGCCCCAACCTCCATCTACTTTAAAGCCCTAGACCTAAAATTCTGCCTTTCCTTGATGTGGCACTGTGGCCTATTGCTGCACTTGTTCAAACACCAGTTTCAATGGCTATTGGCCCAACACTAATTCCTTGAGAACGTGTACGTTTCTTCAACACGATGTGATGTGTGGACGAAAAAAGGTTAGGTGTGTATCCAATCTGTTTCTTCCCACCACCTCGATTATGGTAATGACCTAGACCTCAGATCTTATACTCAAATATTGTCACTCTCTAATTTTTAAAAATTTGTTTACATAAATTATATAATTTGGTCGCGTGAGGATGTGCTTGGCTCAAAAGTAAGTCTTCATGCGGAGGAAAGACTGCGTGCATCTGACTCTCCCCAGACCTAAGGTAAGACACTGTACGTCTGTACCTTCCCAAACCTTGCAATGCCGAGAGCCTGCTAGCCCTTTTTATATAATTTGTTCATGTAAATAAGAAACCATACATGACTGAGAATATTAAATATATTGTTTACACCCACTCTGTCAGCATAACATTTGTTTTTCATATTCATGAGAGCCATATTATGCAATGGTGCCCAGTCCTAGAGTGAGAGAACAGCATCGGCAATGTGGTCAACGTATAAAACATAGCCCAATTGGGTCCTGCATTCATTAATAAAGGTCCCAAGTCCCAACATCAAGCCCATCCACTGGTTTGAAGGTCCCACAAGCCCAATTTAAAACTAGACTCGGCTGGATTTGCTCGACCAACCCTGAGTTGTCTGCGATGATGAACCTAATAGAACTCTTCAAAATGTTTGCATCCTAACTTTTTCCTACCAGCATCCCATCATTCTCCTTACCAGATGGGACAGATACACTGTATCGCAGGAGAAGATTTTGATCCAACAAAAGAACCCCAACAATAGGAAAAATAATAAATTCTTGCCAATGGAAGCAATAACTTAAACATGACCAAAAATGAAAATCATTTCAAAGCGGACATAATTCATTTTGTATATAGTAACATAAATCAAATACGTATCATCATAATACAAGTGACCATAACTCATCTTCTAGCTTGAATATATTTCTCGTAAAAAAATACAGAGACATAATTGTTGTAACAATCATCTTTGATAATACAAATATGTGGGCAATGTGCTACTCACAATACAAAAGAGAAGGCAAACCAGTAGAATCAATGAAGTAAAAAGGAGAGCCTCGTAAATTATTCCACAAACCAAAAACAAAATAGACACCTGAAAGACTATGGGTAAAAGAAAATAAAAATAAAAAATAAAACTATCATGGGGAATTTCACAACAAACCACAGCCCCAGTATGTGGCATCTGAACAAAAATTCATGCCATTATGTTTGTTCCTTTAGCATGCTCACAATTAGCGTTAAAATGCATGCATGGGCTTGCAGCGTCCACTTTAGAGTGAGCTGAGCATCAGCCAAGCAGAAAACAGTTGATCTCTACACGGATAGAATACTTCACATGGTCTTTTTCATTGGAGGGCTCGAGAATTCAGTTCCATTTTCAGAGGAAATTACCTCAGATGAAGCACTAGATGACAAATCATCACCATCACTCACTCCAGTCCGGAAGTTCTTTGTCATTAGCGGAGGGTTTCTCTGAGGATCAGCAGCTGCAGGTTTTTGGCCCTCCTCTGCTAGTTTTCTGAGAATGTTCATGACAGTGGGAAGGAACTTGGTAGACAAGGAGAGAAGCCCAGGAAGCTGGAAGTATGCAACATAGAAAAAGAAAAGATAATTAGGCGTCTAAGAATTCTTTCATGAAACAAAACTTAAGCTGATATCAAAAAATTTAAGGGTGTGTGTAGGAATTGTCAGGAACAATGACTTCTAATGACTACCAGAGCAACTTGCAATGCCCATTCCAGATATCAGTTTCAGGTATAAGTAATTCTGCTGAAATGAAACTGATGCTTGGGCATGTAACATCAAAATACATCATTTTCAATCCATCTTAAAACCCTTTTTTCCATAGAATTTTCTTATGGACATCTGTAACAAGGGTCATTTGTCCCACATAGGAATCGGATGGGAAAGTGATTGGGTATAAATGGGTGGGTATGCAGCACTACCCAATAGTTCGAGCTTTTGGGTAAATGGGCAAGCGCCCACCCGTTACAGTTAGTATCAGAGCCAAACCCAGTCCTTGATCTGGTGTCACGCCAAGCACTCGGCACGGAAGGCGTCAGGGTGAGAGCACCTCGGGTAGGCAAGGTGGCCCGAGCCGCAACAAGGGCGTTGCGAGTTTTGGGTGGGAGAGAATGTAACAAGGGTCATTTGTCCCACGTCAGAATCGGATGGGAAAGTGACGATTGGGTATAAATGGATGGGTATGCAGCACTACCCAATAGTTCGAGCTGTTGGGTAAATGGACAAGCGCCCACCCGTTACACATTAAGCAAATGAAATCTGATCCAAGATTTATTATTATTATTTTTTAACCACTGCTCCCAGAAGTTCAGACAACAGCAAAATCCCAGAAGTTCAGACAACAGCAAAATCGCTTTAAGTTATAATTCTGGACCACTACAGAAAATTGTACAAAAGATTGAACAAGTATATTGAGCAAAGGCAGTTCTTGGAGCCCATTCTTCAATAAACTTGCTTCCAGCAAGCCCCACAATAATTAGGAAGCAAAAATAATTTAAAGTTTTAATCAGTGTGACACTCACAGCGCCATTGCGGAATTCACCCGAAATATCTAGCTGCACCCAAAGGGCCTTTATGAGTAGAAAAGCAACAAAAATTACACCTAGATATAGAGGATTCCTGTCATGAAGAAAAGCCAAAATAAGTAAAATACAGTAGTAGACGAGGAGGTAAACTTATGGTTTAACGCCAACACAATTCAACTCCATAAGCCTGGAGAATAAGTACCTCAGAAGTGTCATGAATTCATTGAACCCCAGGACAATCAAGGCAACAATAGCCCATGGAGGGGGTAACCAGTTGTTACTACGCTTGCTAGCTTCCTGAAAATCGAAAGAGAGAGGAAACACAATCAGACCTCATCCGCAATGAAGTGAAAACTGAAATATATTCACAAGCAAAATAAAACTACATGAACATATCAATGCATGTATGGGGATCTCAGCTGAAAATTTTGGTACAATAATAAGTCAAAAGAAACACATTAATCGCTCTCTCAAACAACTTACTAAGCCACTCCAGCTTTCAACTTAAAACAAGCTGAGCTCAGGCTCACATTCACCAAGATGAGAACAAGTTCAAGCCAAGTCTAAGGTTCAGGATAAGGGTCCATACACTTTATATCTATACATAATACATTTAGAGTTGATCTCTGTATAAATGAGGTCTGGACTTCAAGCTATGTAGCATATACACAGACAAAACAGAATTACACCGACACGGCAAATTTTGAACAGTAGGACAACTAGAATGAGAAGACAGCTAATATAGTTAAGTGTTGAAATATGAATGTATATATATGTTCTATGTACATAGTTAGATGTTAACTGTGAAGGCATATGTTACATGTATATACTTAGATGTTAAGTGTGAATTTATATATATGTATATAGTTAGATGTTATAGGAAAAATATATGTAGTTAGATGTCATAGCAAAAATCTAATACCCTGGTTCATTTAACTAAAACTAGATATACAAACAATTATACATTATATACAGTACAAATATCACCATACTCTAATTGTATTTGAATTTTTATATTGCTTAATTCTTTTTCCATACAAAAAACTGTACTAAGAGTACTTGACTTGTGTTGGCCATCTGCAATGTCAAATTTTATTTGGGGATTCTAAATGTGTTTGAGGCGTGTCCGACACACATTGATTCTTCACAAAGTAACTGAATTCCACTGTGCTATACCCAGTCAGAGAGCACAGGCCTTATAATATACTCCCTCCGTCCCAATTTAAGTATCGCTTTTGGGGAGTAGTAATTTTTAAGGGGACATGCATCGTCTCCCTACACCTTTATGCTCCGTTTGGTTGAAAAGATGGAAAAATGGATGTAAGGGAGAGGGGGGAGGGATGGATGAGGCATCCCTAGGGAAAGGAAAGTGTCTCCTTCACTTTGTGTTTGGTTGAATAGAAGGGAATCAGGGATAGTAGAAAGGATTGATGAAGTGACAACTTTTCTTCTTTTTTTGGTTGGAAGTAAGGAAAGGAGAATTTTATATACTTCTACCAATATGCCCTCCTTAATTAAGTTGATATGCATTGTCCACGTACCACGTATTTTTGACCGTCATTAATCAGTTTGACTGATGACTGGTCATGCTTAACCATAAGTCCATGTGTTTAACCAAAATGCATATACTGATCAACAAATGGGTCAAATAGGGTGGACGCATGACACAATCATTTTATAGAACCTTTCTCAAGGCAAGAATAAAAATAATCTGCAGCAGTATTACCCAATAGATAATATAAAACACCTAACCAAACAACGAGAAGTACAACGTCACAATTACAACAAAACAAAATTGATGAAGGTTAAAATAAGTCATTTTGAAATTAAATAGAGGTTAAAGTAGGTATTACAAATTTATAGACTAATAGCTCATTCTTTCCTTATCGGTAAGGAGGGATACTTCATCTTCATCCCTCCTGGCTTCCTCCCTCCCTTCCCTTCCTTCCAACCAAAGAAGGCAAGCCTCTCCAATTCTTCCCTCCAAGCAAATACAACATTAGAGAAGGTAAGCATAAACAGCCTTGCCAAAGCTGCAGTCCGAAAAGCAAAATTTCACATTCATTCCTCTCCCTCTTTATGTGTTAAAAGACTTTATTAGAATCTTTCTCCTGAGGAGTTAAGTAGCCAAGAACATTTTTAATTCGGATATGTTCTAATTATTATTCTCTCTTCCTTTGGCTCAAAAAAAAAATATATATATATATATATATATTGCTGTCCTAATAGCTTATAGATAAAGGGCTAGCCTTGTGCACGAGGCTCCCGCCATTGCGGGGTCTAGGGAGGGTCAGATGTACGCAATCTCCACAAGGAGAAGCTGTTTCAATATTCGAACCCGTGGCCTCCAAGTCACAATGGAGGAAACCTTATCTTCACGCCAAGGCCCACCCTCCCAAAAAAACATGACCAGTAACAACCCATGGGTCCCCACATATATTTAAGCAATTACATCTTTCACTCATATGCAAAGCTTTTCCCTTATTCACAAAGTTACGGCTTAATGTCTTGAGTCCCCTCCCATTCTTTCTTTGTCATCTAAAATTACGCTTGTCCTGTCATTTCTAAGTACTGAAACTTAGCGCCAGTGATTTTTTTTTTAAAAGAACACAACATAACACTTTAAAGGCCCTCAAAATCCATCCTGTGTCAGTTTGTGCTTTTGGAAAATGCATAAGAAATGATAAAGTTAATTTTTTAGATGTATAATATGTACGAGATCATGCCTGAGCAGCAATGGCTTGAGTGACAGTGTACTCTGTCTCTGACTTGAATTGCCTCCATAGAGATTTGCACTGTACAGGTGTGATCAATGTTTTTGATGTTGGAACCTGAGTAGAAAAATCACAGCAAGAAACACTTTAGTGCTTTAGGATATAGAGAGGATAGGTTCTCAAGAAATGCTCTCACAGGACTTGAAAATAAATTTTATGTGGTGCATGTCCTGGTTGTAAAGGTTGGTCTTCACCTCTTCTTGTAACTTTTTGAGCGCTCTTTTTTTTTTTTATAAAACTATCCCATTCTTTGGTGGTGGTGGTGGTGGTGGGGGGGGGGGGGGGGGGGGGGTGGGGGGTGGGGGGCAAGAATTGTATGTGCAATGTGTGTGCGCATGTGTGAGAGAGTGACACTGAATACGAACAACTGTGAAGAGCTCTGGCAGTCTGTACCCTACAATAATTAACAAATGGAATGAACATATACATATATATATATTAGAACTTTTGCAATACACCCAATTTTGTCTTATAAATCCAGGCATCTGCAATTAAAAAAATGCTCACCAGCAACAGTATAGCGGTGTGTTGACATGATATTAAATATGTTTAAAGCTAAAAGCATTGGAAATAAAGTAGCTCATAAAGATTAATATGGTTTAGGCCAGAAAAATCAGTCCTGTTGATAATAATCACATAGGAAGTTTGTAGTCCTTAAGGCCCATGTTATTTATCTAATAACATCAACTTTCTGTGATAGAGAATAAAATTTCAAGCATACAATCAAAAGCTTCAGACATAAATTTTAACAATTGATAATGGTCACCTCTTCCCAAGTGCTTGAGGCCAATGCATCATATGATGTGGTGCTCTTGTTGGTAACAGCACCACTTCTGGTATCCAATAAAGCCACAGTTAGAGTATTCTCAATGTTATCAGCCTCATCTTCCAAACGGATCACAGCCATAACAGAAAGCAACTTCAAAGACTGGAAAAAATAATTAATAAATAAGATTTTAACAAAAATCCAAATATAATATGAGCTGAAATTTCACCAAAGATATTTAATGAAGCGTGCCATACTGAAGAGCGCGCCGTTTTGGTGATTGCTCGAATGTCTTCCTTCCCACTCCAGATCCGCGGCATTGAATCAGCATCGTGGCTAAACAATGTTGAAAACCTGTTGGTAATTTACAGTAAATTCACATCAGCTAAAAGTCAAAAAAACTGATACAATTATTTCAAGAAGGCCAAATGTCGAAACAATTAATTCACACGCTGCAAAGAGTCATTACCTGTCCTTCATGCGAATCAAAACTCTTCCAGCTTCTTCTTTGGCCTTTGCTTCAACAACTCCTCTAGCGTAATTCTTTAACCTCTCAAGCATTTTATCCTTGGTTTGTTCATCCATATCAAAACCAGAAATTGCAATAGAGAACCCAGAGACAAGTGATTCAGTCTCACGCCAAAGAAGTTTCCTTATGGCAGGCCAGGTATCATCACTAGCCCCATCTAAAAGAGCTTCCACAGGTCCCGATAAAGCCTCGTTCAATTTTGCCTGCGCGTGAATAATTATCAGTATTTTATGGTAGGAATCAATTAACATGGACAAGCTCAACAAATTTGAAGTCCTTAATTATGCAGCTTTGTCATTCACCATGTTCAACTATCTTTCATCACCAAGAACTCAATAAAATGCAAAATTCCATGACCATAAGTTTTTTTTTTTTTTCTTTTTTTACCTTGGTAAGAAACACACCCTATGGAGACTTGAACCCTCAACCTTCTACTTTGGAAGGCGGGAAGTAACACTAGGCTATAGGGCCCTTGGTATTCCATGACTATAATGAATCACAGTAAATAGCACATCATGACAAATAATTACAGAATACCAACAGGCCAGTGGCCCAACGGTACTAGAACCCTACTTCTCAAAGAGAAGTCAAGGGTTCGAGCGTCAGTGGAGGCATGGGTGTATCAACTAAGAAAAAAAAATTACAGAACGGCAGTTTGTGCTTCTTTCCCGCACCATATTCTGCTTCTTAACCACTCATACTACCTCAAGAGATTATACACATCTTTCAGGAATCCTTGTTGAATGTAATTTTGGTAATCTACCAACTATTCTAAAGATACCCAAAACCAAATTATTGTCAAATCTCAGATTTGTCACCCAAAACCAAATTCTTGTCAATCTCAGATTTGTCACCACAGCTTGAGATCACTTGAGGAAGTAAACAATCTGAAGGTTAAAGAATTACCACTAATCATTACCTCGTACAGGTTAGTAAGCTCAGACAGCTTGGCGGCACGAACTGCAGCAACATGTGCGTCTATATCACGCTGAAGCTTATCCCTAACTTTGGAATAGTCCCAGTTTGCTTGTTCAATATTGGCATCTGTATAGTTATAGGATTAGTTTAGGTTTACTCTGTAAAATGAAATTTCGATAAATATAAAAAAATAAGCCTTGTGAACCGATCCTGCTGTCCTAGATTCACATAAATTTCACTAACAGAAATGAAATTGTTAAGTTTGTAACTAGACCTGCACATTCTTCATCAAATAAAGTTATTAAAGACTCGGTGCAATCACGAGCAGCCACAGAAAACCCTTCCCCTCCATCCAAAGCTTTATCAAATGTTTCTTTGAATTTATCCAGAGTTCCACACCGTATATGTCCCAACATCGATTGGTAGGCCGGTTGGACAAGCTAATTAATAAATCAAAAGAAAATCAATGAGGACAAGAGGAAATATAAATGCATAAACAGCTGCCCGAATGGTAGGGTCACTATCAGAAATAAATAAAGCCATATATTGTAAATCACAGACATAAGGAAACAATCAAAATTTTACAAATGACCTTGAGACCCAAAGGTAATAAGAAGCCTCAATGACTGGCCACTCTAAGTGACCAAGTCCTCTCCCAGTAACAGCTTAATGGGTGAGGAAGTCCAAGGTGAAACTATCAAAATGAACAAAAGAAGAATAAAACAGATTTTAGGAACATAATTATAACTCAATGGACATGTGATGTAGTAAATGGCAACTTGGTAGCACCATAAGGACACAAAAGAGCCTCCTTCGGCTTTCTCCCTTATTTAATCAGCATTCCACACTCTTCAAGTGATATTTTGTCCCTCTTTGTGCCACTATGCAACACCATAGACATCCTATAATTCAAAATTCTGGGTCTCAAAACTAACATGTGAATAGAAAACATATGTAGCTTACACATATTTCATTTAAGTTAATGTCAAACTAGAGCTGCAGATTAACCAGGCTATTCATGCATAATTCAGGCCACCTCCACTGCAAGCTCAATAATTTAAAAAACGAATCAATCCTGAGCTAATTTTAAGGCTCATTTAAAAAATAAGCTGAGAGATAATTTTAAGGGTCATTTAACAAATAAGCTGAGCCTGAGCAATGTCCAGCTCAGGTCTTATGAATTCGTGAACATGGTTCATATAAGATTAACTCATCAAGTCCGTATCTACTTCATCATTGCAAGGCCCATTAAGCCCATCCCTCTCCCATTCCGATATCCTTATACTGTCCAAAACCATTTCTCTCACATAATCATATCAAAAAACACTACCCATGAAGATCTCTCTCTTGCATCCAAAACTGTCCATCATTTTTCATATCATACAAGACAAAATCTCATTATTCTCAAGTGATTTCATCTACTCGCCTCTCACACTCTCCCATGACTCCCTCTCACCTCCACTTTTGCCTTAAAACAGATGTTCTGTCTCATCTGCTCACATTGAATTGCACGACCCACAGATGGCATCGACAGTGGAGATTGAAGGTCAACGAGAGGTTCAAAGTAGTAGTCATGTCAAAAAAAAATCCTCCACCAGTAAAAACAGAGCTTAATTGCTCGTGTGTGCATATAACGTTCGAGCTGAGCTTAGCTAGGTCAAGCTCACTCAACTACAAGCCAAGCTCAAACATCTCTCTGACTTTAACAAGTCGAGCCCAACAACATAGAGCTTGGCTCGGCTCGGCTCGGCTCATTTGCAGCCCTAGTAACAACCCATAGGCTGTACATACATTCTCGCAAGAGTTCAGATACCAATATTACAAATTAAATAAGACAATTTGCTATCATTCACAATCTGAACCATTTCATATTATACAGCAGGGATAGATTGCTAACCTTATAACAACTATATTATTGAAAAATATTTCCATCATGTATCACACGAGAACAGAATAAAGACCTCAATTTTACACAAGATTTAGAGAATTACTTGAAGCAATTTCTCTTCCAACTGATTTCGCTTTGCAGATCTAACACCTTCATCGAAATATGTAGCCTCCACATCATACCTGAAAGAATAAAAAAAAGTTATAAAATCACCCAATTTTTGTCACAGAAAATAAACACTATTGTTGAAGAGATGATTTTAAAAAATCCAAACACCTATGGAAAACTTTTTAAAATGATAGCATATCAGATTACAAGAAGCATTTTGAAAATAATTGCTCCACAATCTCATGAAGCAAAGGATGCCATTAGATACAATTGATATGAATAAACAAGAAAGTACAGGAAATGGATTAAAAAATCAATTATTAAATGCAGTTATAAATTGTAAGATCGTTACCCAAGGGTCTGTTACGTGACACAAAAAAAAAACGGCGACTTAGACCTAGAGGGGGGATGAATAGGTCTCATGGATATTATTTTGTAACCAGGGGAAAAAAAAAAAGAAAAAAAAAAAAGTATATTATTTTGCACTTAACTAACTTTTTTAAATAATAATATCCCTATTTGAAATTATGTTAGTTTGTTGTGATTATTGATTTTTGAATTATAGTTTGGACTGGTTTGTTGTCAATTTCTATCAATCACAACCACAATCACAATTTAGCATCATTAAAAAATAAAGTAGAGACAAGCGGAGACAAGCGAACTTTTTACATGGAAAACAAAACCAGGAAAAACCTCAAGATCTGGCCAGAGCTAAGTCACATAATGCGGGAGTGGGAGCGGGAGCGCCAAAGTCCAAAATATTTGAGAGCGGGAGCGTCTGGATTTTATATATATATATATATATTATGCACTTATCTTATTATATAAATTTCTACAGTTAATGGTATAGCCCATATAAGTATAAGTTTGGCCCAATAAACATTATTTCATTAATAAGGCCCAATGAATTATAATTTTCTACAGCCCATCATCCAAATAAAACTTCATCCCAGCCATTAAATTTCGATTTATCTCAACCTTTGGTTTCCTTGATCATAAACTAAACCCTAAAGGCTAAAACTAAAACCAGCAGCAAAGTCCTCTTCAGCGAATCAGCGCCACCGCATAATCCGCCGGCAATTCACACAGCTCGCACTCTCTCATGGATCTGGTCACTATATCTCTCTTTCAAATCTTAAGGTCAAGCATTAGAATATTTGATTTCTTCTTTAAAAATTGATCTGTGTTTCTTCTTCTTCTTCCTTGTCGGAGATGGGAGGTCGGATTTCATGAAAGAGACAGGCGATTTCCTGAATCGGTGATGGTTAATAACCAAGCCCTGTTGAAAGGTGATTTAAATAGTGGGACAGTACACGCGGCGGCTGTTGAATGGGGATTCATTTGAATCCACGTTCCAAAATATGAGTTTACGAATTCCCAAAAATGAGTTTGCGAATTCCTGCCGATTCCGCTCTCAATTCGTAAATCCGCGCACGGAATGTAAATCGCCGACCCTCTTTGGCAAATCATGTGACTTAGGCCCAAAGAGGCACAGTCCACTATATAAGAAAGAGATTACAAGAAGATTAACTGTTACCACATCCTAGAACCCCTAATTACCTCTTGACACAGAGCCAAACGTTTCCCAAAAAGTCTCCAGGCCGTCCATCCACTCATCAACAGATTTCAATCCTCAAATTCATTTCTCTAGTGATTGCTCACTTATCTACTCTAACAATTAATTAGTTCAGTTGGATCGGATTGTTGAATTCCTCAATCACATAGGATGTAGTCAAAGAAACCCTAGATTGAGTAAATTGGGAATTTTCCTTCTTACTCAAGGATTATCTCTTTAGATGATTAGAGACTTCAAGTTCATACCTAGACTGCCTATAACCTCATATTTATAGCCAATATAGGTAGCCTATATGTTTTAGTAAGTAGAATACTTGTAAACTTGAGTTTTGAGAGTAATTTGTGTTTTGAGAGAATTACCAAAAATATGTCTGTTAGGTTCAATCGATCGACGCCTGCAGAACTAACCTCAATCAATCGACCCTTCAATTGATGCATACTGGATTTCAAAATAATTTTCAGTCTTAAACGCAATAGATTGACCATTTGACCTATGGCTACTAGGTGGTGTTTGACTGATCGATGCATACTATTGTCGTAAAATAAAGTTTCAAAAAATGTTTGAAACTTTAAATCTAAAAGGCCATTTTTCAAAAAAAAAAATAATATAAAATAAAATAAGTTTGCGAGTCTCACCAATATCTAACTAGGTCTTTCTATGGTCATTTTACTTGTGCCCTAAATATGTGATAAGGTTGCGAATTACCTGTCGTGTTCTTTGCACTTTTGTGTCTGCCTTGCCTTCCACAAATATACTAGAATGACTAAAGACACTTTGACACATTATAACACAAGTTTTGAGTAGGGAATATGGCAACACATGACTCATATATCCAACAGGCAGACCTAACAAGCATGGTGGTAACAAAGCTAATTGTTACTCCCCATCCTTTTTCACATATTTTCTTCATTTCTGTCTTCCATAAGAATATGACAGTAAATTTAGAAGCTTTTTCATCGAAGATTACATTTTATAGTTATTCCAATTGTTTTTTAGAAATAAGAATGCCGAAATATTAAAAACCCTTACATCCTCCCACATTTATTAATTGCATTCATACAGATTAGCCATCATACCTCAATCCTACTCAACGTCAAAACAGCAAAATATTAAATAAAACCATCATATTTTGCAGCCTAATTAGGGCAGGCAATGAAGCAGGTTTGGACTTGGGTACTCTTTTCCGACCAGCACCAGAAGAGGATGTGAGTATAAAGTTTATTTATCACAAGAACCATACATAACCAGCTGCTAAACCACTAAAAAATAAATATCACACCAGATACTTACTCTGACAAACAACTGTGAAGAATTAAACTAAGCTTTTTGCCAAAGCCCGGCACTCGACCAGATTGAACAGCCTCCTCTAGTTGGCACCAGTCCTGGGATAATTTAGATCAAACAGGCTAGTTACAATACAAAGATATTTAAGTCATAAATAAAAAATAATCATTTTTTATTGGACTCTTTGAAGGTTTGAGGTGCCTTTGGCCCTAGTGTTTCATGGGGTTCTGCTCCCCTTTTGAGCGTTTTCTATATAATCTATCTTATCAAACTAAATAAATAAATAAATAATAACCATTAGAAACAAGTTAAAATAAATGGAAGCAGGTACCTCATTTGCAACAAAAGAATCAAGTTTTTCATTGGCAATTTCTTCACAGCGTACGGTAGCTACCATGACCTACAAATGGATCAAAAGCATCTAAATATTTTTATTATAAAAAAAAATCTAAAAATACTATTTGAGAGGTAGCTTCTGTAAAGTATATTTTCACGTCATTACCTTGTGGGCAGGAAGGTCAAGATCCTTATTCTCCTTAATGATTTTCCAGATATGTTGTGCACTAAAAGAAAACCCCGTAGCAGGAACAACACCCCTCCTATCTCCAGCAAGCCCCCCAGGTGTTATTGAATGGAAGAATCGCCGTCTTAAATTAGCCACCTTCATCATAAAAAACACAAATAAGACCAAAAATAAATAAATATTTATCTCCTGTGGTTCAGTGGTAGAGAACAGTGGCAGCAAGTAGAGGATAGTGGCAGCAGCGTTATAAAATGTATAAAAGGTGTGGGAAAGAGGATTCTATAGCTCAAGCCTTGATTTGGCACATGTTATGTGAAGTGGGGTCCACTTGCAGTCTTGCATAATAGGGGGGATTGGGTCAAAATTGCATAGTTTTTGGTAAATAGCATCAATTACGGTGAAATTGCATTATTGTGGTAAATTGCATCAATTATGGTGAAATTGCATCAAGTTATTTGTTACTTTTATTATGCTACAGTCAGCTTTTGATTACCTCAATTGTAGGGTAATCCAAGGGTCATAGTTGTTATAAAAAGGATACTATGTAACTCTGATTAATTAGTCAATGAATGAATAAAAATATATTTAAGATTTCTTTGTGAGTGATTCAAATTCTGAGGGTGTGATGCCTAGGCCCTGTTGGTGTGATTCCAATAGGTTTTTGTTGTTTTCAATCCTCTCTCTCTACTAATATCTTGAACAATAGCTCTGTTTATTTGAACTTCCAGCCACTTCTCCTTTGTTTTTCTACATTTCTGCTATCGAACCTCCAAATTTCAGCTCTAGCTCTTTGAACTTTCAGCCTCTGAATTCTTTAGTTCGTAACTGTTTAAGGCTTCTCCCTTGTCCTACATCAGTTTTTGGTATCAGAGCCTAAGTAGAAATTATGTTTACATGACCGGGAAATGAAAGATTGGATAGCAATCAGGAGATTGAATTGCTCTCACAGATTTTGGAACAACTTAAAGGACTGAATACTCGATGCAGTGAGATAGGAGCTCGAATTTCGCAGCCTTTTAATAAATCGGTAGCCCCTGAACAAGAAACTGCATTCAGCACTAACGATGGCAGAAAACAAGAGCAACAACAGCCTTTAAACTCTCGGCAAAGGTGTAATGTGATGGCCGATCCACCACTACCTCCCATGTTGGAGTTTCCAAGAAATCCATTAGAAGTGAATCATCATGAACCACATGATGCCGCTCGAGATATTCCAAAGAAGTTGAGCAATGGAACGCACAGCACACTGACAACAACAATGCTGCCAAATGGTGGATCAAATGCATCTTTCTATAACATGGCTCATTCTGAAGGAAAGAGTACGATGGCTAGCAAGGATCGTGAGAACCTGCTTGATAATGAGACTTGCAACACTGGTCATCTGAAAGAAGTTGGAGAGAATGTTTCCTCCAACTCTGTTGTTAGGCATATCCTTGAAGACCCTAAAGTTGGTGGCAAAGATGGGCAGCAGACATCTAATTTTCAGATGCAAGTTCGTCGTGGAAATGACGGAAGTTGCATGAATGTTGTGTCTGAAGTCACAGTTGAGCGCCTCAAGCCTTTGATCCAACCACGTCCACATCCTTTCAAAGTGGCTTGGATAGATAGTACTTCTACTCTGAATTTGTCAAAAGATGTGGCTATTGGAGTAGATACTTGGTGAATATTAGTGGGCACTGCACAGAAATGGGAGCATGCTTGTGCCAAGAAGTAACAGAAGTTGGTTCAAACATCCACCAACTTGGTAGATGAGGTCTGGAAAAACCAACTGCCAGAAGAAACTAATCCTGTGAGAAGCTAGAGGGGTCTCACGCATCAAAAGAGCATTTTAGAGGCCTAATATTTCCTCAGTTGGTCCTAATGCAGCAAATATGCATTATGAACTAGAGGAGAAAACATGTTTAGGACTTGATCTAAACAGCATTTGTCTATTCGATTCGAGAGCACAGTACCTAGATGGAACCAACTGGATTGCTCTTTATGTTCTTGCTCAAATACGTTCGTGTTAGGATAGCCTTGATTTTCGACATGGTACTGGCCATGGAGTTGGTATCAGAGATGATGGGTCAGATGCTTATTTTGTTCTGGGGTTGCCTAGAACTAGTCGAGGACATGATGCTATAGTCATTGTTCTGGATCATTTTTCGAAAAAGGGGCATTTCCTTCTATGTTCTAAGACCTCCAATGCTGTCCACAATGCCAAACCTTTTTATCAAGAAGTTGTCCGACTTCATAGGTTGCACAACACTATTGTTTCTGATCAAGCTCTGAGGTTTAAGCGCTGTTTTTGGTGCAAATTATGGAAATTGCTGAATACAAGGCTTAAATTTTCTTAACTCTTTTCACACTTATGAGCAATTTCATCCCTTTAACTCGCCGGAGACGAGTTTTTCCAAGCCAGAGAGAATTGGTATAGAATAGTGGCAGCAAGTAGAGGACAGTGGCAGCAGCCTTTTAAAATGTATAAAAGGCATGGGAAAGAGGATTCTAGAGCTCAAGCCTTGATTTGGCACATGTTAGGTGAAGTGGGGTCCACTTGCAGTCTTGCATAGTTGGGAGAATTGGGTCAAAATTGCATAATTTTGGTAAATTGCATCAATTATAATGAAATTGCATTATTGTGGTAAATTGCATCAATTAAGTTATTTGTTACTTTTATTATGCTACAATCAACTTTTGATTACCTCAATTGTGTAGGGTAATCCAAGGGTCATCAGTTGTTATAAAAAGGATACTATGCAACTCTGAATACTCAGTCAATGAATGAATAAAAATATCTTTGAGATTTCTTTTTGAGTGATTCACAAATTCTGAGGGTGCGAGGCCTTCCCTAGGTGTGATGCCTAGGCCCTATTGGTGTGATTCCAATAAGTTTTTGTTGTTTACAATCCTTTCTCTCTACTAATATCTTGAACCATAACTCTGTTTATTTAAATTTCCAGCCACTTCTCTTTTGTTTTTCTACATTTCTACTATCGAACCTCCAAATTTCAGCCCTAGTTCTTTGAACTTTCAGCCACTGAATTCTTTAGTTCTTAACTATTTAAGGCTTCTCCCTTGTCCTACATCAGTCAGTAACTGTGACACTTGTGTTCCAAATTACAAACGCAATAACGAGGCATTAATAAACAACACAATATGAAATGATCAAATTTGAGTTTTCAAAAAAATGAAAAATAAAATAACTCAGTTTATAAGAAATTATAAAATAAAATTTTAAAAAACAATAAAACCGCTGCTAACAATAAAGAATGATCATAATGGGAATCACTAAAAAAACAACAGCAATTTATCCTTTATTTCTTTTTTGCATAGTCAAGAACAGTAGTAAAAAGACGAGCCCATCATATACGATATGAACAAAATTGAGTAATTTTATTTCAGTGTGGTACCCTTTGCATGTCCAGTTTAGTATACCTGCTCTTTAAATTGCTCTTCCTTCTCTTCGTAACTGGAAAGTGCCACAACTTCAACCTGGCCATTTGATCAATAATAACACACTTACTATGCGTGTAAAATCATTGCTTGGCACTAAACATATAAGGACATGCCTAACTTATGTAGAGTGAGAACACGACATCTTACATTAAAAAACTCACTTAGTGGAGTTTCCATGTGGGCTTGTGGCTTAGGAACAGAGTCCCAAATCTACAGCCAAGAAAAAGTTTAAAAGTCAGCAACATCAAGATTGCAAATGAGAAGCAAAAGGGGGAGGGGGGAATTACCTTCTGAATATCTTCCCTTAGAATAGGTTCTAGATTCTCCAAAGGTGTCTAAACACAAACAAAGAGTTACACAAACTGTCAGAATTGAATACAAATAAACAAAGCCATATCCATGATGATCATCAGAAGCTAAATAAATAAAATAAAATAAAAATAGTGTTGTTCAAAGCCAAAACAAAATAAAAGAGAAGAGAGAAAACATACCCTTGATTTATCACGTATTACGAACATTAAAGTTGTTTTTCGTGGACTAAATAATCGCATCATGACCTGAAGAAGGATCATCATAATGTTGAATCAATTAAAGCATTCGCATTTCAAAATAATTGCTATCATAATGCAGGTCACAGGAGATACCTGGAATACAGTTTTTAAGAGAGGCTTATTTGCAGCCTGTTCACGGCCAATGTCATGACACCACCTAATAATACAATTTTGAGGAAATTACTCGCACAAACTAATAATGATCCTGAATGTATCAATTATAGATTGTAGCAAAATGTGATCTATCCATATAAAAGAATCTTGATTGTGCTATGAGAAACAATCTTACATATTTATTAGTACTATATCTGAAACAGCAAGGGCAAAAAGGGCACTTTGCTTTTCAAATGCAGTATCATCCTGAAAAGGACAACGAAACTGAATGAGGGACAGCAAGCAATACTGCAGTTGTCCATTTATCTCTCAAATTTAAGAGAATAATAGGAATAGAGAAGAATAGAGATACTATTAACGATTGGACTCATGGCAATAAATTTAATACACACACACACAAACATATAAATACATACATATATATATATATATACACCTATTTTTTACAACAATAAAATTTCACTTGATATAATTGCAAAACTAGACCATGATTTCATATATATAGGTAAGTATGAATATGCTGAAGGTGAGTGAAGATGCAACAAACTGAGTCCCTAAAGAAATTCAAAGTGACGCAACCTTTAGGAACAGGAAATCATTGGGTTTCATACTCAAACAATGTACAAAAGTATATGTATGGATATTTACATTGACATAGTAATCACATGATTGCAGACATATACATGCATGCACGGAAGATTTTATATTTTGGTAAATGAGTTCAATTTTTGAGGACTGTATAATAAAGATAGTTGAAAACCAATAGTAATTGTGAAAACCATTCAGTAATCGCAACAGTAATACATGTGCAAAGTCCTGATCATAAATAAAATTTCTGCATGGGTACCTCTCCTCGTTCTCTTCCATCGGTGCCCTCCAAATCCATTACAAGAGTGCAAGGTTCAATTCCAGCACAGTTTGCCAGCCAAATACCTTTAGTGGTTTGAGACCTAATTAGAATAGTATCCAGTCAGCTTTTAATGTCTGAACAAAACCAAATGTGACCCACCATAATGCTTTATGAGTTATACCTTCCCGTAAAAGCATCCATCTCCCTGAAGTTAGTACCGAACAAATGATTTAACAGCGTGCTCTTCCCTGTTAGCATGACAGAATTCCTCGTCAAAATCATTGGATAAAGTACAGCACAACCAATGAGAAAAATAAATTACACAGGACTTAACTGTTAATCATCTTGTTCATGAAATTATTCATATTTTTCAAATGAATTATGGTAATGTGAAATGTGGACGAAAAGTTGAAAACATAAAGCCTCACCACCAATGATTCTCTGATGAAACGCAAAAGTAATTAGATTATATAGGTAAGAACACATACCACTGCTTTGAGGACCCATGATGGAGACTATGGCATAGGAAAGTCCACATTCAGCCAGTTTCACTTCCTTCATAAAACTTTCAATTCCAGCAGTGTTGAATGTACCATCCCCATCTATAAGGTGAGTAGAATAGCATTCACTGTCTTTATCTGAAAAATAAATAATTTATTAGCAAGAATGTATGAATCACATTTTCTGTAAGTGAACAACTTGATCATGGCTTGCAAAAATCATATTTATCTATGTTAGAGACGAGCCAAATCCATCAATTATAGTAGGTTTCATTGCTTCACAACACAATAGTCTTTCTTCAGCTCAAAATAACATTTTTAATATTCCATGTGTTTGAACCATAGTCCCAAAAAGAATAATCAACGAACGATTTCAAATGGCATTCTCCTGGTGAATCTTCATACCTGCTAGTGCCACCTTCATTAACCAACTACATAGATATAATAATGGTACCAACAACCACATAATTCACACTTAATCTAATACTTTCCAAAACCCTGAACTTGGTTGCTTATAAAATTGAGTAGATGAACACTAGTAGATATAAAACTTTACTCTAAGCTTGGATTTTTCAATTTTGCAAAGAAAAAAAGCTCACCTTGACTATGCGAAGTAGTTGCAATAAACTGAGTAAAGCAAATCTTATCAATTTTTCAGATCCCAAATGATACACGTGTAATTTAGCAAATAAACGGATTCAAATTGTCATTGGCCATGGAATTTCACAAGTAAGCTCTGACCCAGTTACCGTTTCTTCACAAAATCTACCGAAATGATCAAAAACCCACATAAAAAAGGTAAACTAAATCGCGCCTTTGTTTTCACCAGTTTACAACTCTATAGGACCCGAATTCAACAAAACCAATAGATCAAATTGGGGAGAGCAATGAAATCGTGAATAAATAACCATGAAGATTCAAGCTTTCGAATTTCAAACAGTTGCAGATGAGACCACTAAAAACGCGTATATACATATACATATATATGTACGAATTTCCGTTATATAGATATAAACCTACCAAACAGTCGAATTAAATTGTGGAACTAATAAAAGCAGATCATTAATCGCCTGGTTCAATTAGCGGATTGTGGATGCAAAACGGATTGAATTTAAAGACAGATTGCAAATCAATTGGATCAGATCATCGGAAGTTTGATACATACCCATGTGTGTGTAAAATCTGGTGGACGGTGTAGATTGGTGATGGTGGAGGTGACCTGAGAAATTTTTCAGCAAAAGATTGATTTTTGGAGAAGAGAACCAAAGAAAGATTTCAAATGGGCATTTAACCCCTTTGTGCTCTTTAAAAGTAGGCTTGACTGTCCCGAATATTCAATGAAGAGAACACAGAGAGTAATAAATAATAATTATAGAATCACTTGATACACACTATCTTTTAACATAAATTTTTACCAGTGAAATATATATATATATATATATATATATATATATAATTTGAACATTAAAAAAATTTTAAAATAAAAAGTAAAGAATCACCTTGGACCAATAGCAAATCCGGCAATGAACAACAAATTTAGGAATTGTGTTTGTGTAGTCGCGATTAAATTCACGATTTTAATATTGTATTTGTATAGTTGCATTGCACTTAGCATTTCTACTAAATAAATATATAAAAAAAATATATTTAATTTTAAATTATAATAATAGGATTGGTTGTGTTAACTTCTTTAGCGATTATTGATTGATTCAATGTTTCCATTCAATTTATTAGAATTTCAAAATTTGTTGGAAAAAACAACAAATCTTCAACAACAAATAAATAAATAGTTTGATCTACAAATTAGACAAATTGAAACAATATCTAACTGATATTACAAAAATAAATAAATAAAATAAAATAAAACTACAAAGAGTTATGACCTTAAGAATAGCATTCCTATGTGGTGACCATCAAATTTTTTGGCTTTTTTTTATTATTTTTTTTTATTATGTTACATGGTTAACAATGACCTACAAAATTAACTTATTTTATCACCTATCATATGATTTAATGTATTATCTTAAGTCTCCGGTCACTTCCACAAAATTTTCTGATAATTGGTTGATATACTGGGGACAAAAGACTATATATTTTTAAAATTTTATTTCATAATGGATTATAGAATATCTTAAAAGATTCAACATTTTAACAATGGACGTCTAACTCAATATAATTTGTCCACCCTTAACGGAAAGGTGGGGAAGTGTTTGAGCCCAAGTATAAACAAAAAAATGTACGTTTTCTGTCAAAGTGAAAAAAAAAATGCCCCAAGTAACAAAAACAACGATTTAATAAGCCATTTCTTTTATTTTCAATTTTACCCTTTTGACTATCGTCAAATACGAGACGTGAAAGGTTTTATTCATTTTTTATTACAAGGACATTGGACGCATTGGTGGATTTATTCATCATAGTGTTATTTGATAAAACCAAAAATTGTTATTTGATAAAACCAAAAATAAGTACTATGGTAGTAAAAATTGAGAATTTTTAAAACAAAACAAAACAGTAAAGCATTAAGTGAAATGTGAAATCCTGTCACTTAAATTTAATTCCATTTAAGTACTGGTTACTTATTTAAAAGTGATATTCAAATTAATTTATTTAAATATATTTAATTAGATAAACACTGATATGGAATTAAATGCTGAATTGAATTTCACAGATTAAAATATTGAAATTGCCATTTGCCATTTTGTTTTTCCTCTTTATCAATTGTATATACAAGCACACCACATGTTTACACAGTGTTGTATAAATATAATCGTGTAGACAACATTGCGTGAAAAATAAATACAAGTACAGAGGAAATGAGAGGTATCTAAGAATATGATGTTTTTCAATCTTTCTGTATATTATGTCAAAAAAAACGAAGTCTTTTTGTATAAAAAAACAGAATAATAAAATATAGTTTAATGGTCAAAAGGGGTGGTTAATGAACTTAATGTGCATTAAAAAAAGGTTAATAATTATGAATATAATTTTGACAAAGATGATGAGAGGTTTTTAGTGGTGCCAAACCTTCCTGCACCGACTTTTTCTTTTTGTGGGACCCAATGACCGCCCATTTACCTTTCTCAACAAAGAGGACGGCGTCGTAATGCTTAGATCTACACGCGCTTAGTCAGGCCAACATTCTCCAACATACAAGAGGAAATAAAAAAATGAAAACAAAAGTTGTTTTGTTTTTTAACTTTATAAAGAAAATTACTTTTTCTATTTCCTACTTTTGGTCACATTGGAAATTTTTTTATTTTGGGTTGGTATTCATTGACTTTGATACTTAAATTTTCACTTTTTGATTGACAGGACAAAATGCATATATCACATTCAAATAAATTATAAGCTCATCTTCAATTGTTTTTTTTATTTTTTTTTATTTTATAGTAAATCTAATGTGTTATAGTAATAGATTTACATAAAAAAAATTTGAATTATTTAATTTTTATTTTAATGGTTGTTTTATACTTTATATACTCCAATAACAATAAATAATTATCATGTTTGGATTCCACGGTCCCCACATAATTTTTACAAACCTATTTAATACAAGGTTAATTTGTTAATGAAATGAGAAAGAGAGAGGGAAATGAAATATGCTGATTTGGTTGTGTAAAGTGAACCACGCCTGTAGATAAAAAAAAATTACACATCATACGTGGCAGTGTATAGTTTATATAAAATTGTGTTTTAACAAACAGTTTGAGATGCTAACAATAACAATCAACTAGTGTTATGCTTAGACCCCATATAATTTTTATAAATATACTTAATATAGGCTTGATTTTTTAAATATGTTGACATGACTATATAATAATTTTTATAAATAGACTTAATATAGGCTTGATTTTTTTAAATTTGTTGATGTGAGTATGTAAAAAGTTTATGTAAAATACACAATAATTTTACATATTGTGACATGACTTCGTATTTTAACAGACTGCTGAAGAAAAAAAAAAATTACACGTCATACGCGACAGTGTACATTGGTGACATAACTGTGTATCTTAACAGAGTGACGAAAATGCTCTAACATTTAAAAAAAAATTCCTTTAAATTATAATTTTTTCCAAAATTGAACCACCAAGTCATTAATGGAACTAGATAATTACATAATTATTCCATACAAAAATAAAAAATTGAAGCTGCTAAATTATACAGTATTACTTTTGCGTGTATCCTTTTCGTACACAAAAATGGAATAATACATATTGTTAAGTGATAATGCAATGAGAACACCGGAGGAATAAAATGTGTTTAGTTGATTAAGTTTTATATTAATTTTTTAAAATAAAGTAAAAATCTAAACTAACATAATTATATATTTTTTAATAAAATAAAATAATTAAGAAGTCAATATATATATATATATAATTAAAAACCTCTTTTTATATATATACACTCACATATTGCTATGGTGCAAACATGTACACACGTACACATCCAAAAGAAACTCAACATCAAACTAGGGATAATCAAATAAGGATGGAAACTTTATGTGTTAAGTGTTGTGCAGTCTGACAATGACGCGTGTCAGAGCCATTTCAATTGCTGACTAATGTGTTCATTGAATGAATCCATTTTTAAGCCTGAATCTTGACCAATCATTTTTTTTATAGTTATTCTAGGGTACCGTTCGGTTGCGAACTCTGCATATACGCAACCATCTGTAAAGTATGTATATCGTCATCATTTAAATTTGAATTTTTGTGTGATCTGTGATAATTAAATTCAGAACCTTTGTCCACAAAAAATCCCTCATCCACTAGCCACTCGTGCTAATTAACTTAACAAACCTTTTACCACTTCATTTTTTATTTTTTTATTTTTTATAACTTGTTTTACTAGTTTTTCCAAATATGGATGATTGTCTCACCTTACCCAAAAAATAAATAAATAAATAAAATACAACTATGGATGATTGAACAAATTACATTGGTATATTTATATAAAGGGTGTTTTAGTGTCCTTTTTTATTGTGTACAACATGACTAAAGGGTCCACTACTTGAGCAAAAACAAACAGAAACTGGTCCAATAATTTGATTTTATTAATTAATTTACTCAACATGGTGTTCCATCCACAATCACTTTATTCTCTCTATATATTTATATTTTCATTTAAACAAATCAATCAAAGCATTAAAAGGTAAAAATATATGAAGTCTGACAAAAAGAAAAGCCAAAAACAAGAAAATAAAGCAAGCCCTATATGAGCAACAAACACAAGAACACTATAACCCCACTCAACAAAACGAAACAAACATAAACTGATCCAAACAAAAAATAATAATAATCCAAAAGACTGTGGAAAGAGAGAATGGATCTAAGAATCAAATGCTGCAGTATTGATTCCATATAGCCCAAAAAGACTGCTCAATCTCACAAGCAACCTTGAAAAATGATTGTTATAGTCAAAAAATGATTTATTTATTTATTTTTTTTTATTCACTCGAAAAATGATTGTTATAGTCGGTGACGGATTTGAATAAAATATGAGAGAGGATAGCCTTGAATAAAAATAAATAAAACTATCATATTAAACAAAAATAATAATATTAATATTAATTTATATCATCATCGAGTAAGTTTACATTAGTCCTCAACAATTTTAAAAACAGCATACCATAACTTCATTATTTATGCTACCAAATAAGAATTCATTAATCTCTCATTCAACTGTTTAATCAATTTTTTGCAATATTCATAGTAAAAAAATACTCTCAATAAAGGCAAAAAATTTTAAAAAGACTACCAACGGGTCAGTGGCCTAATCGTATCAGACTCTTATTTCTCAAACAGAGATCAAGACTTCAAGCCTCAGTAAAAGCATGTGTGTGTGAGTACCAACTATAAATATATATATATATATATATATATATATATATATATAGGCCTCTATGATTTTCAATATGTCCATAGAAATAACATTAATTAACTCTATGATTTTTATTTAACAATCCCTTCTTTCCATTTTTGAGATGCAAGAAGATAAAAGTAAATTCTTCTTGAGTAACTTTGAGAATAGAAATTTCTTATGGTATAAAACTTGACTTTTATTTTTAAAATTTTTATTTTTATTTTATTTTATTTTTTGTGGAAAACAGTGTGTTATGACCTTCATAAAGAGATGAAGGGAAAAATAAATAGAAATCGTGTTGCTTTTTTCCTTATAAAGAAAATTACTTTTCATTTTTCCAACTTTGTTTACATTGGAATCGATTGATAAAAAATTTATTTTGGGTTGGTATTCGTTGAATTTTATAGTTTAATTTTTACCTTGTGTACAGGACAAATTAAGTCGGTCATTTTCTTTTTCACCTTGGCCAAATAACACTGTCAAA